TGGTGCACAGCAAGCCGCTCAACAGATGTGGTCCTGAAGTTCTGGGTTCAAATCCCCTTCCATCCAACTGAACCAACCCACATCTGCTAGCCCAGGCTGCAGTCCCCCCACTCTCTCTCCTACTCCTTCAAAAGGCAGCCTGCCTCCCACTCCGGGCTGGACCCCTTCTTGTGCTCTGGTTTGGGGCTGCCCAGTACTGGACCACTTCCATTTTAAATCCCTACCATTTCATAAAATTTAAAATTTAAGTTTCTCAGATCAAGTGCTCAGCAGACACACGTGGTTACCACACTGGACGGTGCAGGTAACAGAATATTCCCACCCTTCCAGAAAGATCTGTTGGGCAGATCCCTTCTTCCCTGCTCCCAGGTGTCCACTCCATCAGGAGATGATATTCTCTCCTGGGCCTTCCACCTCCCCTCTGTAGGGATCAACCTACCTGCGTTCAAATATCACCTGCACAACTTAATAGCTGCATGAGCTAAGTCACCTAAAAATTAAAGTAAGTAAATAAATAAAATGGGAAAAAGACATGAACAGACACTTTTCCCAAAAAGATACAAAAGCGATCAAGAGATAAAAAAAATTTTTTTTAAAGATGCTCAACCTTACTCACTATTAGGGGAATGCAAATCAAAACTACACCGAGATACCAGCTCACACCTGTTAGAATGACTCTCATCAAGACAGGTAATAACAGTTGTGAAGGAAAAGGAAGCCTCCTTCACTGCTGGTGGGAATGTAAGCTGGTACGGCCACTATGGAAATCTGTATGAGGCTTCCTCCGAAAGTTAAGAGTAGAGTTACCGTATGACCCAGCCATCCCTTCCTGGGTATCTTCCTGACAATTTGGAAAACACTTATTCACAAAGATACATGTACTCCTTTGTTCATTGCGGCATGATTCACGGTGGCCAAGGCCGGGGAATGACTGAAGTGTCCTTGGATAGAGGATTGGCTAAAGAAGATGTGGTCCAGATATACCCTGGAATGCTACTCAGCCCTAAGAAAAAAGGAAACATTGCCATGTGTGATAACATGGATGAATCCTGAGGCTACCACGCTAAGTGAAGTCAGACAGAAAAAATCAGGAGCCATATGATTTCAATCATATGTGGGGTATTACACTGAAAACAACAAATGAGCAAATAAGACAAATCAACAAAAACCCATGGACTCAGATAACAGGAGGGTGGTTACCGAAGGGAAGGAGGGTGGGGGTGCAAAAGAAAATGTGGGGTCCCTTGTTCAAAGTGATTACTGCTTTCAAGATGCTCACAGCAGATCATTAAACCAAGTGCAGGGCCCCCTGAGCACGGGACCCCAAATCATTGCACAGGTCTCTCCCCGGCAGTGATGTCCGCACTTCTGAAACTCCTACGCCTCCTGCTCTCCGCGTTGGTGGGGGCCCCACGCTCCCAGGACCTGCCCTCGGAGGTCCATGGGGCAGATAAGATGCACCTCCAAGGATGTCCAGGCATGAACCCCTGGGACCTAAGAATATGTTGCATCCCCTGGCAGAGGGACTTTGCCGATGTGATTCACGTTACAAGTCCTAAGACAGGGAGGTTATCCGGGCCTGGTGGTTCATTTTGTGTGTCCACTTGGCCAGGCTCTAGTCCACGGTCACTCAGCTGGACATGAATCCAGGTGTTGCCGCAGAGGCATTATGTCCACGTGGTCGCGCTTACTGGCAATGGGCTCTGACCAAAGGCGGTCGCCCCTGAGAATGGGTGGGCGACGTCTGATCAGCTGAAAGAGAAAAGTGGAGCTTTTCCTGAGGAAAAGGGAACTCTTCCTCGAGACTCATCATCTGCTTCTGCCTGCCTGACACTTCTCAGTGTGCCCTACGGAGTTGGGGCTCGCCGGCACCTGGCCCCTCCAAACCCCATTCCTTGATACAAGTCACACATGTATGTGTGTGCCTATATCACATAGATAGAGATAACTGATTATCAAGTAATACATTCGTGCATATCCATTACCAAATATATATGGATATTATTATTGTTACTTGGTGATCAATAAAAGTTAATATTTTATATGTAACATAAATATATTTTTTAACTAGATAGATATCTTAATAATATGCCTTTTTAAAAGATTTTATTTATTTATTTTTAGACAGAGGGGAAGAGAGGGAGAGAAACATCGATGCGTGGTTCCCTCCTGCGAGCCTACCACGGGGACCACCCCCCACCCCCGCTGCAACCCAGGCACACCCCCGACCGGGGATCGGATTACCGACCCCCTCGGTTCATAAGCCCGTGCCCAACCCACTGAGCCACACCAGTCAGGGCTTTACAGCTTAATATATATATGGTGATATAGGTGTGTATATGTATATCTCCCCCTGGCTCTGTTTCCCAGGAAAACCCTGACTGGTACCCCCATTATCCAGGTGGGCCCAACCTAATCACATGAGCCCTAAAAGCAGAGCACCTTCTGTGGCTGGAGGAACCTGCGGAGCAGATCCGCTCCAGCGGATGAACAGCGAGAGCCGAGGACTTCAGCCCCTCGGCTACCATAACGGAAGTCGGCCAGCACCGGAATGAGCTGTGGGGAGGCAGGACAGCCCCAAGTCAAGGCGCTGGCATCTTGGTATCAGTTTAGAGAGACCCGAAGGAGCCACCCCGGCCGTGCCCTTCAGAAACTGACGTAATGCGCGTGGATGGATTGTGGAGATCCGTTATGGAAGCCAAGGGAAACGAATAGCACAGCCTCCTCTCTCTCTTGCAACTCCCATCCCTTTGGTTCCCAAGTCCGAGTGAGCCTGCCTCCCGAATGAATATCCCTTTCATCTGTACCTCCCTCTCCATTTCGGGACCCCTGCCCCAACTCAAGCCCCCTCCCGGGATTCTAGGGTGAGGGGGGGAAAAAAAGTCAAGGGAGCAGCAAAGATTCAGTCACCACGGTGCACAACATTGTCATGTAGCAAATGACTAAATGCAACAAAAAAGGATAAACGGCGTATCCATAAGGAACAAAGTATCAACACTTTAACAGGATCAAATGAAGTAGCAACAAAGTAACCACGTGGGGGCTCGGCGAGGTGGTGGTGGAGGGACTGAGCAAAAACGAAAACGAAAAGAAAGGAAAAAACTCATGAACAAGAACATCAGTGTGGTGATTGCTGGGGAGGAGGGGGTGCGGGCTCGGGGGAGGGGAGTGGAGGGAGGCGGAGGGGGAGGGTAAGAGGGATAAATGGTGATGGAAAGAGGCTTGACTTGGTGTGGGCAACATGCAATACAGGCGGCAGATGATGTGTTGTGGAATCGTGCACCTGAGACCTACACAATTTTAGCCTGTGTCAACCCAATAAATTCAATTTTTTTTAAAAAAGCAACGGTGTGAGTGACTTTTCCTTTTTCCTCAGGGCCCAATGACAACCCTGATCCTCTAGCCTCATGTGCAGTTTTGGTATTTTGTTCATTATGGGTCGGTTTTGCAGTTTTTAAACTATTGCATTAGAATATTATTTATCTTAAAATGTCTATCCATGCAAGGGACTATTACTCAGCTCTAAAAAGAATGAAGCAAAAAAAAAAAAAAAAAAAAGAATGAAGCACTGATGCCTGTTACGGTGTGAATGAACCTTGAACATGTGATGTCATGTGAGAGAAGCCAGACACAAAAGAGCACGTTTCAGATGAGCCCATGCACACGACGTGTCCACAACAAGCAAATCCCATAGAGACAGAAAACAGATTAACAGCTGCCGGGGCGGGGAGGGGGGGGGCAGGAGAAGGATGGGGAGTGGCCGCTAATGGTTTTGGGGGTTCCCTTTTGGGGTGATGAAGGTGCTTCGGAACTGGACAGAGGTGGCGGTTGCACAACACTGGGACTGCACCAGACGCCGCTTTTAAATGGTTACTCTGATTGTATGTGACTTGAACTAATCAATAACAACCGTGACTACAAATCTGTTACTTAAATCTATTCTTTATCTCGGCTCCTGAGTTTCGCGTGACCACCCCCTGCCCCCGCCGTCAGTTTCACCCCGGTTGCAAGTCCCAACCTTGCGCTCGTCCCTCCGGCCCGCGAACCTGGAGGGGACCTCCCACCGCCTGGATCTGACGGCGCCACTGGGTTCCCCTCAGCCTCCGCGACAGAAGCGACGCTCCCACCGGCGTCTGGTCTTCCCGGACAAACCGGGCGGAGGGAATTCCACCCTCACCTTCGTGCCCTCAGCGCCACCTGGCCTCCGGCCTGCTCTGACATTCTTTCTCCTCTCCTCGCTCGTAGACACGTCCATTCTTCCTCGGAGTTCGTTCAAGCCACACCTCCTTGCTGTCGGTTAAATCGACTCCCTCTGCTCCGGCCCCACTACTGCAGCCCCAGCCCAACCTGAGTCGGCCCTCCCCGGGGCCCTGCCTGCCGCCCCCGCGGAGCCGGCCGCGGGGCTCCGCGCCTGAGCCCTCCAGCCGGCCTGCGCCGCGGGCCTCCGCTGCCCTCCAGGTCAGGCCCTGAAAGGATCTTCCGAACCCCCCAATCTGACCGTCTCCTTGTCACCCCTAGGCACAGGCTCTCAGACGGATGCAAAGATCTGTCTGGAGGCGACCAGTGTCAGGCAGGGACATTCAGCCAGGAAAGTCCCCAGGCAGGGGCAGCGCTGCCCGGGAAGACCACCTCCACCGTCCTCGCCCGTTGCTCTCACTCGCTCAGTCCCCACACACACTCCCTCAGCAGCTGCAATCTGGAAGAAATTACTCTCCCAAACAGCCAGACTTCCCCACTTTCAGGAAATTCCAAGCTGGGCAGGGGGAGGGGCCGGGCCGGGCCGGGCCGGGGGCGCGTCCCGCGCAGCCCCCACCCCGCGAGTGTCCTCCAGCGCACACCCAGTCGCGGCCTCCTCCCGCCCCCACACACAGCCCGGAGGGGCCTCCTTTCCACCGCTGCTTCCTAGTCCTTTAAATCCCAGAGGCAAACTTTCGGAGGGGGGGCGGGGGTGGAAATAAGGAAGGCTGGGCGTGGCCTGCGCCTTAACCCTGTCCGCCCCAGACGGACTGAGCTGGACTGGGCGGTGACTCTGCGCCCGTTTGGGCTCCGACCATGGCCCCCGAGAGGGGCTGACACCTCAGCTCGGGTGCAGGTAAAGAAGGAACCGACGCCGGGGATGGGGCCTGGGCTTTTGGGTCAGGGTCGCGGAGGGGCTGGGACCCCTGACTCCTGGGCTGAGGAGGCAGAGCTGGGAGCAGGACGCCTGGGTCCGGAGAGAAGGGGCCGGAGGAAGTGGCACCCTGGACTGGGACTCCTGGGTCCCGATCCCCTTCCAGGTCCCGCATGACACTCCCTTTGGCAGGTGAGATCCGGCCCAGAGGAAGGAGGAAGAAGGCGCGGGCCTGGGAGCAGGAGGCCGAGGCGGGCTCCGAACCCGGGACGGGGCGTCCCAGCTTGAGCCGAGCCTGAGCGCGCCGGACCCGCTCACCGAAGACCGCGAGGTGAGTGAGGAGCAGTGGTGGCCGGGGGCCCCGGTCAGGCCCGGAGGGCAGCTGGACCGACGGCCAGGGAGACGGCGGCGGCTGCAGCCCGGGCCGCAGCCACGTGGCCTCAGGAAGCGCGCCCTGCGGTCCGGAGGGGCCGGGGTCTTTCCCTCCAGGGTCCCCCCGCCCCGCCTCGCCGCCTCTCCCACCGGGCTGGGAACCAGTCGGGCCGGATCTGGAGCGGGTTGTTATTTCCGTCCTGGTGAGGCTGGGGCCAGGAGGGGACAGAGGAGAACCAGCTGTGACGCCCCTGCCCCCCCCACCTCCCCCCCCCCCTTTGCAGCTGGAGCGCGCAGGAAGGGGAGGGGGCCGAACAGGGTGGGGGGCGGGCCACAGCCCAGGGCACCGGGGGCAGGCGACCCGGGCCCCGTCCTGGCTGCTGCCACTCTGCCCGCTTCACGTTTGTCACAAACAACGGCCCCTCTTGTGGGAGCCTGGGCCGAGTGACAGACTTTTTCTGATTGTGACCTCATTGCATGGAGCACACAGCTTGGCTTGGAGTGGGGTCAGAACCTCTATGGAAGAGGATGGGAGGTTCGGACAAGTGGAGTGAGGCACCCGAAGTCTCAGATCGGGTAGGAGAAGAGCTGGCATTCCAAAAAACAACAAACACGCAAAACGAAACAAAAGCCGTTTCTATCATTGTCCTCATTTGGAATGAAAAGAAAAAAAAAAAAAGGAAAGGGAAAAGAGAACAAAACAAACATGGTAGAGGGTGTAGGAAATCCCAGGCCTTTAGAGCAAATCAAAACATCATTTTTTCCACGGGAATGCACGCCGCCCATCCTATCCTAGGAGAGCAACGGCGATCTAAGGTCACCCTTAGATTCGGAGCTCACCTGCTGGCGTCCGAACCCAGCCCTCAGCATGGCCGCTGTGTGAGCCAGGGCAGGTCACCCCGCTTCTCGGTGCCGTGGCCACGGCAGCTGTCACACAGGCAGGATAACACCGGTCTCCCGTGTCTGGGACGATCAGGGGTTGCAGGAGTTTTTCCATCTGTGTGATGTGCGCATGCTCCCGCCTGCCTGGTCCAGAGTAAGTGCTCGGGAAATAAGGCATCAGCATCCCAAGAGGACTTTGCGACCACCTCTTGCACAAAGGCATTTTTTTGAAATCCTTTTCTGGGGATATTCATTGATTTTAGAAAGAGAGAAAGGGAGAGAGGGAGGAGGGGTGGGAAGAGGGAGAGAAACATTGATGCGGGAGAGAAACATCGATAAGTTGCCCCCCGCCCCAACCCTGTAGGTGCCCAACTGAGGGTCGAACCCACAACCTAGGTGTGTGCCCTTTTTTAAAATTCTTTTTTAGATTTTATTTATTTTTAGACAGAGAGGAAGGGAGAGAGAAAGAGGATGCATCAACGTGCGGTTGCCTCTTGAGCGCGCCCTACTGGGGACCTGGCCCGCAACCCAGGCATGTGCCCTGACTGGTAACTGAACCGGTGACCCAGTTGGTTCGCAGGCCGGCACCCAATCCACTGAGCCACACCAGCCAGGGCTGACCCGCAGCCTTTTGATGCATGGGATGATGCTCCGGCCGACTGAGCCACCCAGCCAGGGCCACATGCGGGCATTCTGATTCCTGTCCACCCCCCCACCCCCGACTAAAGTGAGGTTTAGGGTTGAGGAAGTTGGTTCAAGGTCCTGCAGGGAGGAGATAGCAGGCCAGGTGTGTTTGATGTCAGACATCAAGACTTTGAAGTGCTTCCCGGTGCTGGGAAATGGCGGTGATGTCACCTGAGAGGGCAGTAGGAGAGTGGGTTGAGGGGTAAGCCAGGGCTGAGCAGGGAGAAGCTGTGGCCGGGAGCTGCCCCGGGTGTGGCAACTGTGCAAAGGGCTAGAGGCAGTAGGAGGGGTACTTCCGGAGTCCCGCAGCGCTGGCTTCGAACCTCGGGCAGATCACCTACGCCCTCTGAGCTCCGTCCCCTCGTCTGGGATAGGGCAGGACTGCACTGAGCACATATTGAGCACCTGCTGTGTGCTGGGTACTGCGCTAAGGTTTTCATGGGCAGCACCTCACCTGCCCTTGCAAAGAGACTGAGAAGTATCCTGTGAGTATCAGTCCATTGTCAAGATAAGGAAAGGAGGCCAGAAAGGTTGAGTCACCTGCCCAAAGCCACACAGCATTGAGCACAAGCAGATGCAAGCCTGGGTAGCGGGTTTTCTGAGTGTGGCTGTTTTCACATGTAACTCACAGCAGAGGAATAATGGGCGCTGCGAGAGGATTTATTTTAAACCGTGAATCGAGATTCATTAAGGAGCGGAAGTCGGCATTAAAAAAAATAAAATAGATTGTAATAGAAAATACTCAAGTGTCTAGCATGTTAAAACAGTACGTCTTGTTTTGTACATTTTTTCCCCCTTATGCCGAGCTCAGGGGAAGAGGACTGTTTGCCCAGATTGCAATACAAATATATATATTTATCTAGATTGAGGTCAGAGGAGTCTGAGAAACACTGCAGAACTGGTGAATCAAGACTGGTTTCCCCAGAGAAATAAATGAGGGGTGTGCGCATGTGTGCACGCGTGCGCGCGCATAGGATAGAGAATGCAATTCTCACAACACATCCATCGGAAATGATTTGAAGTCTTTTGGGCTTTCCTTTTCTCCAGCTTGTCACTCGCGTTGCCCAGAGTGCTTGTTACCACAAGAACAATGCTGGCTGCTTTGCCTTCCTCGGACGGTTCAGTCAGATCTAAATCTTGTTCTGCTGTGATTGTTTGGGGACACATGCCAGCCCCTCCCGCCCGCCCCCCCCCCCACCCCCAGCACACAGCTGGCTAGCGCCCTTACAAATACAGTTTTCAATGTCGTTTTCTTTGAGCAAGGAAGCTGGTGAGGTTTTATCCGTTTTACAGATAGGACGCAGGCAGAGAGAAGTCACGTCATGCATCCCAGTTCATACGGCTGGCAAAGGGTGGTGCCGCATTTCACATGGAAAGAAAATCATTCGTTATAACAGTGATTGTTAATACAAAGGCACAAGGTCACCAAAGGCCTTCCCAGAAGTTTCATAAAAACAGCCAAGTTCCAGGATGTGGGCAAAGGTTTGCAGGCATTTCCCTGTAACATGAACCCTATGTGGCCATGTGGCCAGGGAACACCTAGCTTACAGTTCATAAGCTGCCAGCTTCAGATTTATGCCCTTTGGCCCATCTGTTAACATAGAGAAATTTGCCTTATTATTATTACCTTACAAAAAGTAAGATATTATATTGTCTCTTTTGACATTAAATACCTCTAATTAAGACACGCTGCCTGTAAGCAGATTCCCAGACCTGCCCGGAATCTACGCGATCAGAATCCTCAGGCAGGCCCCTTCGCGGAAACGAAATTGTATTTTACGTCTGCGTTGGTATAAAGACAAATATAATCCAGACATTTAGAAACAGACCAAACACGTCAGCATTTCCCAGGCTGCAGGAGGCGTGTGGGCCCTAGTCACCTTGCCTGCTGCCCTACTGGGCGAAGTCAGCCCTGCGTTCAGGAACCTCCCTTGTGTGAAGAGCTGGACTTTCTGTCAAGTTTGGGAAGCACTGCACGGGCAGGGATGGGGCGGTGGTGGTTGTTGCTTGTTGCTGGGCCTCCGGGACCCTCAAATGTTAGTTCTTAGAGGAATCGGCATAGCGTGGTGGTCAGGGGCAGACCTCAAGTTGAATCTGATGTGAATCAAGTAGCTGAGGCCTCAGGGCCCCTGGGAGCCTCAGTTTCCCCACATGGAAAGTGAGAGTAATCCTCACACCGCCATCCTGTCCCTGTCGGGGGGCGGGGAGAAGCTTCCTGGGAAGGGCTGGCTAGGCCCAAGGCTGGGGTGCCGCAGGCCTAGGGGTCCACTCGGAATGGAGGCCGCGCTGACGCTCCCCTACCCCGCAGATGCCGGTGCTGAAGCAGCTGGGCCCCGCGCAGCCCAAGAAGCGGCCAGAGCGCGGCACCCTCTCCATCTCCGCGCCACTCGGCGACTTCCGGCACACGCTGCACGTGGGGCGCGGCGGCGACGCCTTCGGGGACACGTCGTTCCTGAGCCGCCACGGCGGGGGGCCGCCCCCCGAGCCCCGAGCGCCGCCTGCGGGGGCCCCGCGCTCCACGCCCCCGCCCGCCGTGCCCCAGCCCCCGCCGCCCGCTCTCCGCGCGCCCGCTCCCGCCGACCCGCTGTTGTCCTTCCACCTGGACCTGGGCCCCTCGATGCTGGACGCGGTGCTGGGCGTCATGGACGCGGAGCGCCCGGGGGCCGCTGCCGCCAAGCCCGACGGGGACCCCGGCTCCGGCCCTCAGCACCCCAGGGCTCGCTGCCGCCCCGACGCGGACCTCGAGCTGGACGACGTCATCGGCCTGTAGGCTCCAGGTTTCCCCGCGCCCCTGCCGTCCCGCACCCCACTTCTTTATACATAAACGGCCAAGGTCTGTGCCCCGGTTCTGTCTGTTTAGTGTGGACGTGGGAAAGGGGAATGATGGCGTCCCGGCGCCTTTCAGAGTCAGGGGTGACACCCGGAGTCCTGGTCCCCGCGGAGGCTGGGCCAGCCAGGTAGGATGGTGGGCGCGGAGTGGTGGGAGGCGGACTCTGCCGAAGCGCCCGCGGCGCGGCCGGGAGGTGCCCCTCCCAGGGGCGGGGTCCTGACGTGGCCGAGTCCGGGGCCTCGTTCATTCATCCTGTTGACGGAGTGCGGAGGCGGCCGCTCGCGGCCTGACGCGCTCCCGCCGCCCAGCCTAGTGCAGTGGACCCTGCCCAGGCGAGCCGCCCTGGCAAGTGGCCGGGGAAGAGGCGTAGTCCCCGGCAGGAGGGTCCCGTGTCCCCCGGAGGGGCGCTGGCCCGAATGCTAGGGCGGCAGTGCGTCGTCTGCGCCACCAAGGTCGGTGGGAGCCTGCTGACGTCTCGTGGCCCCGGGCGCCCGCGGAGGGCGCAACCGAGGGGGCGTGGCAGCACATGCAAATCGAGGGGCGGGACCAGCCTGCTAAATTCTGCCCGGAAGAGGCGGGGCTTCGCATGCAAATCACCAGACGGGCGGAGTCAGGCTTACTAAGGACCTAGAGGAGGCGTGGCCGCACTGGTAAATCATTAGCTGGGATTGAAGCCAGGCTCCGGGCTCGCAAGGAGACCGGGGAGGGCGGGCTGCCCGCCCGGGGAAATCCTTCGGACAGGGGGTGGGGCCACACTTGTAAACCACTAGTCCGCGGATAGGGCAGGGGGAGGTTCCCCCAGGTCAGTGGAGAACGAGGCACTTCGGCTGGAGTCAGAGTCCCGGAGAGTCCGAGGGCGTGCTCCCCGGGCCAGGGTGTGGTTGGAGCGACTGCAGGGCGCTCGCGTTCCCATGGCGGGGTCTGGAGAGCTCGAGTCGCCCCCCGAGGCTCCGGCCGAGGAGCCCCCGCCGCCGCCTGCCTGCCGCTTCTTCCTGGAGGGCCGCTGCCGCTTCAGTGCCCGCTGTCGCCAGCCCCACCCCGGGGCCCCAGCACGGGTGAGGCCTAGCGGCGGGGCCGAGGCGGAGGCCGGGATCAAAAAGCCGCCACTGCGCACTGCCGCGGCCGTCATCCAGCGCATCCGCTGGGACCCGCGCCTAGACCCTGCCGACTTCACGGTGGGCTACGTCGACCGCTTCCTGGGCGTGCTCGAGGAGCCCTTCCTCGCCTTTTGCTGGGACGAGCCACTGGCGGCGCTCGGTCCCGGCCTGCTGGCTGTGCCTCAGCACCGGGTGCGTTACTTCCGCTTCCGTGGCCGCATAGTGTGGGACCGCGCCTCGCGCACTGATCACGTCTTTGGCTCTGGCTCAGCGGAGGGTCGCGGGCCCACCATCCTGGACGTACTCGACGGCGGGGACGGGGACGGAGAGGCGCACAGCCTTGTGCCTGTTGATGAGGACGCGCCTCAGGCTGGAGCTGCGCACAGCAGCGAGGACACGCTCTGGGACGGAGGTGCGCAGGAGGGCGCGCGCAGGACCGGGGAAGGGCAGGAGGTCGATGTGCCTGGGACCAGGGAAGCACAGGACTGCGTAGCTGTGTCCCAGGCTGGCCCGGCCCCAGCAGGAGAGTGCAGAGAGCCAGCCTGGACAGGCTCCACAGAGGGGAGCCTGGTGCTGGCAGGGGCATCTGTGAATGCCCAGGAGCTGGTTGGAGCCCAAAGCCAGGCTTCTCCATGGGTGGAGCCCGAAAGGGCACACAAGCCAGCTGCCAAAGACAGGACCGTAGTGGAGCAGCGCCCAGGGGAAGACTTCCCTGACACCAAGGAGAGGTGCCAAGCGGCATGGGGTCCCGGGACCTGGCCCGAAGACGGCGGGGAGGGCACAGTGGCCACGGCCATGGCCCGTCGCCAGCCTCGCCCCACGCACTTCGTGGCCGTCATGGTGACAGACCCCGGGCTGCAGGCCGGGGTGGCCAAGGCCCAGAAAGAACTGGTCCAAATGACACCTTCGTGCGCTGCTTCCCCGGTGCCGCCCCAGGCCCTGCACCTGACACTGGCCCTGCTGAGGCTAGCGGGCCCAGGGGACACAGCTGCCGCCGTCAGGGCACTCAGGCGTGCCCTCTCAGCCCTGGGGCTTGAGGCCCCCGAACAGCTGAGGTTCAGGCAGCTGGTGCTCCTGGGCTCCCACGCGCTCTGTGCTCTGCCCTCCCCCTCCCTGGATAACATGGCCCAAGTGCTGAGCCAGAGGCTGGAGGCTGAGGGGCTCCGAGTGCTACAGCCCCCGGGGGGCCTGCACCCCCACCTCACACTGGCCAAGGTACCCCGGGGCTCCCCAGACCACCTCCCCACACCTGGGTTCAGCCCAGGGCGGGAGCTGGGGTGCCAGCTCCTGAGACAGGTCTGGCTGTGCTGCATGGGAAGGGCCGGGGCCACCTACCAGCCCCTGGCCGGGATCCCCCTGGAGCGACTGCCCCAGGCCCCCTGAGCTGGCCCATCGGCGCTCAAGCCCCAACGCCGGAGGCGATCCAGTGCAAGCAAGAGAGACAAAGCACGCGCTCTCTCTCTCTCTTTAATTTTGGTTTTTCTCAAGCTTCCAAATGTGCTCAGTGCTCCAAGGAAAGAATGAAGGAGAGAAAGGGGAGGGGAGAGGAAAGGGAAGGGAGGCAGAGGAGGAACATCTGGAAAAAAAGCAGCCTGACAGTCCAGCTGTTTGCAAACTCATTGCACATCCTCCAGTTACATGGCAGAAGAGGGAGGGAGGGCAAAAAGAAAAGGGGAGGAAGAAGAAAAAAATAACTTAAATAAACACACACAAAAAGAAAAGAAGGAAACATGACGTGAGCTGTGATCCATGGAGGCAGGGAGGGGAACCGTTTACCTGTGCTGAACCAAGGGAGGAGGGAGCAGGAGGAGGGGGAAGGGGGAAGGGGAAAAAAAACCAGAAGAAACACTGGGGTGGAGGGAGGAAGGGACACGAGACAACTTAGTACAACTGCAGACGAGGCGGCCCGGCCGGTGAGGTCCCGCGATGGCCTCCGGAGTCCTCAGTGCAGGGTGGCGGCTTGGATCTGCTGGTGGCGTGGTGTGGCATGGTGTCGGCGATTCTGGGGCGGGAGCCAAAGGCAGGACACAGTTTCTACAGCTCCCCTCGCCCCGAGCACTGAGGCCCCAGAGAACTGGGCAACAAGAGTCTGTGGTGAGGTAGGCAGATGGGCGGCGGGCGGCGGGCGGCGTGCTGGTGCCCCCGCCGCAGCGGGCACGGGCAGAGCGGCCTGTCTTCTTCCGCTGGCCCCCCAGCATGGGATGGGCCAGGGTGCCGGGTTGCTACCGGAGTACAAGCTCGAGAGAGAGAGAGAGAAAACACTGAGACAGCATTAGTAGAGGTGCAGGGTGGAGAGACCAAGCCCCCAACCCTCTGCTGCCCCACCCCTCCTCCCATCCTATCCCGTCCCTCTGAGACAAAAAATAAAAATGTAGAAAAAAATCTCTGTACAGACTCCCCGGTAGGAAAACGGGGGCAGGGATGGCGGCTCTTCCTGGAGCCCACTCCCCACAATTAATTTACAACCCAAGTCCATGGCTCAAAAAGTGTGCAGAGGCGGCAGTGGGGGCCGCGGCCCTGCCCCCCCGCCCCGTCACGTGGTGCTCAGAAGGCGGACAGCTGCGCCAGGCTGAGGCGGCAGTCGATGCTGGCGTTGTCCGGGCCCATGTAGGCCAGGCCCAGGGGCTCTAGGAAGGCCCGGCAGGCGGCCTCGCCCTCGAAGGCCAGCTCGGCCTGCAGGTAGGAGACAGGCAGCGCAGGGCGGAAGCTACGGAGACAAGAGGAGAATGTGATGAGGCGGGCTGCGGGCAGGGGCCCCCACGAGCAGGGAGTGGGGGCCCCCCCCTTCAGACACCCGAAGGGTTTCCTCAGCACGTTACCTGCTGACCTCTGACACCCGCCCCACCCACACCTCCCCACCTCTGGGGCTCGGGGAGCCCAAATGGGGCTGATGGCCCCAAGCCCACCTGTGCCCCCCTTTACCCTCACTTACCTGTGCAGGGGGCCGGGAAGGAGGGGGGAGGGGAGGACCCAGCTGGCGCTTCCACTGCTCCAGGGCCTGAGCAGTCCCTCAGAAGAGGGCCACTGTGGCCGAGGGGCAGGGGCCAGGCAGAAGGAGTGACCCATGGGGACAGGTGTGGGACAGCAGGGCTGACTGCTACACTGGGGGCCCAGCCCTCACGGGACCCCAAACCTGGGTCCCAGTGCCTCAGAAACGCCCCAGGCACAGGTATCAGCCAGCACTCACTACGCATTTCAAACACAAAGCTCTGGTTGTCAACAGCACACTCTCCTCGCTGAGCACTTGGCACGTGCCGACACAGCCAGCTGTTCCAAGGCTGCCAGGCTGACTCACGGCATTCTCTGCCTGAGGCTGAGTCACCCCACCCTCCTAAACACTGAGGCAACTGCAGGCCCGGAGGCAGAGCCGCTGGGCCAGTGTCACTGAGGAAGCAAGTGGCAGAAAGCACTTGAACTGCTCCTGCCGCCAGCCCATCCGTCTCCCAGCCCTGGCCGTCCATGGGGGCACAGGAGAGCCTGTTGCGCCCACGTAACTGCCTCCTGGCCACTCCGCAGGGACCTGGCTCTAGGGTGAAGGGACATGCCTGCCAAGGCAGTGCCCACCTGACAAGCAGGGCAGGGTGAGCTCGGGGTCAGTGACAGGCCAGGGGCCCTCCCACAGGGCAGAAGGCTGGCTGTGTCCCCGCCCAAGGCCCAGCACGCACAAGCTAGCAGGGGCACAGAGTCGCCGGCCCAGCCATGCCCCGTGAGCACACGAAAGCCTGGGAGCTGGCCTGCAGGGGCGCGTCTGGCCGCGGAGGGTGGACTTGGAGGGGCAGCTGGGGATCCCTCAGGCACACAACTGGCCAGTAAGCAGACCCTGTGCATCCTCGCCCTACATGTGTCTGCCCTATGTCGTCTTGTCTGTTTCTGCGGCCCCTGGAGCGTGTTCCTCGCCTTCAGGTTGACCATCCCTCCCCGGCTCCAAAGCACCCCCATGGCCCCCAAGCTAACAGACGTGGCACGCAAGGCCCCCTGGGCGCTCTGCCCTCCGACCGGGGCTGGCACCCTTGGAAGGACTGACAGCGGGGCTGGTTAGGGGCTGTGGGGTGCTGCGCACACAGCGGGCTGCTCAGCAGCATCCCCAGTCTCTCTACCCACCACAGGCCAGAGGCACCCCCTAGTCGTGACAACAGACAAGGACTCCTGAACCTGCCCTGTGTCCCTGGGGGGAAACTCACTGCCCTGAGCACCACCAGCCCCACACTCGCAAGCACAGGGCAGGCACACTCGATGGCCTTCTGTAAGCACCCCCAGGCCAGCTTGCCTCCCTAACACTTTCCGCACTCTCTCAGGACTCAGGTACAAACAGGGCTGTCCCATCTGACCAGACGCTACCCAGAGCGGGGCCGTGTTTTCTAGTTTGTCCCTAGAGCAGAAGCTCAGTGACAGGAGAGCCATGAGAGAGGCGGCAGCAGGGCAGCGGGGGGTGGGTGGGGGGCCTGGGAGCCGAGACAGAGCACGGTGGAAGTTCGGAGACGTGGGAGGGCCAGGAAAGAGGGCGGGCTGTGCAGAGGAGAGCAGGAGGGGCAGGACGGGAAGACAAAGGGGGGAGAGGGGACGAGGAGGGAGGCAGAGGGGCCTGGACCGACCGGGGATGGGAGCGAGAGGCCCGTCCACTGACAGTGTGCGGAGGGGAGAGAGAGGAGGGGTGGGGGAGAGCTCAGCTGAACATACGTTTTGATCATGGCCTTGAGGGCGGCCTTGCGCTCTCGATCCACAAACTTGTCTATGAGGTAGCCAGACATACAGGGCGCGTGGCCGTAGAGCCGGAAGAAGCGGTGGTAGTTGCCCAGAGCCCAGGCCGCCCTCAGCGCCAAGGCGTGGGCCACGCAGGAGTCCGTCTTCAGCTCCCGCGTCAGGTAGGCCAGCTCTGTGGTGACGTCTGTGCCAGAGACAAATGATCAGCGGGGCCCAACCCTGGGGGCTGGGGCGATGGGGGCCCGTGGCCGCGCTCCTCACCTCCCGAGTTCTTGGTGAAGATATAGTAGAGGATCCGGTAGGCGGTGAACTCGCCCACGTTGCCGGGCAGGTTCTCCGCGTACAGTGACTTGAGCTGCGTCTGGCACTGATTGAACTCCTCGTGGTCACCCTGGTGGGCAAGGCGTGGAAAGAGAGGACGGGCTGAGTGAGGTGGAGCGCGGCCGGGGAAAGGAGCGGGGGGCGGGGGGAGTCCTGGGGGAGCCGCCGCCAACTCACCTTCTCCAAGGCGATGCGGGCGTGTGTCTCGTACACCTCCACCGTGAACTCCGTGCGCACGCCTTGCACCTGGGGAGCAGAAAGAGTCAGGCTGGAGCAGGGCGGGATGCGGCAGCCCCCCACCCACCCTGGGTCCCCGTCCCCAGCCCCTCACCGTCAGGTCCTGCCGGATGGACTTCATCTGCTCACAGGCAAAGGCATAGTCCTGCTTCTCTTTCCACTGCGACTTGACCATGCACAGAGACTTCTTCAAAACCTGGGAAGGGAGTCGCCCAGGGCTCAGCGCCACAGGCAGGCACAGCAGACACACGTCACGGCCGGCCGTCCTGCTGACTCGGTGTCTGCAGCGAGGGCTGCGACAGCAAACCCGCCGAGGGGCCCCCACGACGTGACAAAGAGCCCGCGGGACAGCAAGAGCGAGCGCTCCTGAGCCCGGTCCCCACATCGGCACCCGGCCTGCGTGCACCTGGGATGAACGCTCCCTGCCTCATCCCCGGGCCTCTGGGAGGACCCCAGGGTCTTCCTCTCCATCTCAAGAAGGTCCCGCAGGCCCAGAAGCCCAGCAAGTCTTCCGACAAGGCCGTGCGCCCGGGACTCAGGGCTCTAAGGCACAAGCTGTCCTCAGCTCGCCCTCAGCGAGCCCCACGGCCAGCCCCAGGCCCCGCCCTTCCCAGCACTTACCGCCACAGGGCGCACAGTGGATGGGTCGGGGGCACAGGTGAGGCGCAGGTAGTGCTTGGTGATGTCGGGGCAGGTGCCCACGATCTGCAGCTCCTGCCAGTCGGGGTCGGCCCCGCCGCTCTCCAGGCTGCCCACCTGCAGCACCAGGGGCTCCAGGCGCAGGCGGCGGGAATGCCCGTGCTGGAAGCGGGCCGCCCGCTTCTGCTTCTTCAGCTCGCGCTCAGGGTCTTCACACTCCAGTGCCGCCATCCTCTTTCGGTTGCGCTTGGTGGGACCTAGATCATGCCTGGGGGGAGGGAGGGAGGGGGCCGGTGAAGGAGGCAGGAGGCCACGACCGCCTGGCCTCCACCGCTGCCCAGGGGCACAGCGCCCCGGCCCCGGCCACCCACTCAGGGGCTCACCTCTTCCCTCGCTGCGCCCTGCCTCGGCCCCGATCCATGTGGGCCCCCCGGCCTCCCCGGCCCTTGGGGGGTGGGTTTCTGCGACCCACAGGTGGACACTCATTCCCTGAGTAGGAACTGTCAGAGTCCGAGTGGGAGTCGCTGTGGGGAAGAAGCGGGAAGGTGAGGCCCGCGCTGGCTCCCCCACAGGCCCAGCCCCGCCTGAAGCCTGCGCACCTGCGGCGGAAGTGGCGGGTCGGTGACCTGGAGGAGGAGCGGGAACGCGAGTCCGTGCTGGAGGAGGAGCTGTGGTCCTTCATGAAGACATTGCGGTTGCCAAACTTGGCGAAGCTGCTGCCCCGTGCTCGGCCAGCACCCCCAGCCCCCGGCGTCCCTCGCTGTGACTGGGCACCCCCGCCCCTGGTCGTGGAGCCTGCCCCCCTAGGAGGGTGAAGGCTGCTGGGGGCCTCCCACCGCTTCTTCTTGGGACTCTCCGCCACAGGCTCCCGAGTCAGCCTGAGGACAGAGCAGGACATCACCAACCCACGCCCCCAGCGTGCCCGTCTGCCACCTGCCCCAGGGACACACCACTTTGGGCAGGAAGGGTGCTCACCCAGGTGAAAGATAACCGGCTGCAGAAATGGGAGGCAAACCCAAGCCTTCTGTGTCTACAGGGTGCTCTCAGCAGCCCCCGCCCGTGTCCCTCGGCCAGACTCACCCTGGCAGAGGCTCCCGGCTCCAGTCGATGGTGTAGGCTGAGCCATCCTGGAGCCGGGCCTGCAGCACCTCCTTGAGCAGCTTCTCCGTGCGGTCCTTGTCCTCCTCCGACTCGCAGGCTGTGAAGCAGCGCTCCACGTACTCCTTCATGTCCTGCGGCCAGTCGTCCGGCTTCCCAGACAGGCTGCCCCTGCGCGAGGACAGACGTGAAGACTCGGCTGGGGAGCACCCGGGCTGGCAGAGCCTTCCCCGCGCCCCCCGAGCGGAGGCATGTGCAGACACGGCTCCAGCATTTCTTCTCCCCCCCTTCCATGGTTATGGCAGCCCCGGGGAGGCGACCCCCGCTCTGGAGCGGCAGAGGGAGGCTCGGGGTGCAGAGCCTGCGTGCGTGTACACGGAGGCCAAGCAGGGAGGCAGGGCACCGTCACCTGTGGTTCTGGGCCTTCTCGGGGTTGGGCTGGGGGCCAAAGCTGCTGTGCTGGCCCTCTGAGGCGGAGCTGAAGTTCTGGCTGGTGACAGCGAAGGGCCGTTTCTGAATATTGAACTTGAGGCCACCTGTCCCGGGGGCCGCTGTGGGTGCAGGCAGTGAAAACTGGGGTTAGGCCTCCTCAGACCTCTGGGAATGGGAGGCCCAGCTCTAGGTGGCCACCCCCAGGACGACCCCAGCACCCCTGCGCCTCCTGCCCAGGCGCCCGAGGTCCGCCCCGTGCCCTGGCTTCTCTGCGCTGCCCACTTACGCTTCATGCGGTTCCACAGCTGCTGGCCCTTCTTGGGCTTTGCGGGCTCAGGGTAGCTGTGCGGCCCATAGGCCTGGCCTGCGGCGGGCCCCGCCTGGCTGTGCTGTGTGGCTGGGGCCGTCCCGGGCTGGGGGCCGCTGCTCAGAGCATGAGCCCCGTGCTGCGGGTTGGAAGGCTGAGGGGGCTGAGCGGCCGGAAGCTGCTGGGGAGGGGTCTGGTAGGACAGGCTGTCATCCATGCCGGGGACCGGGGGCTGGCGGAGGACGTGGCAGTGAGGGCAGGAGCAGAGTCTCCGGGCTGCTCCCTGACTCCGTTCTCAGTCGCCTCGCTCAGCCCTCAACCCTGCGTGACTCTCGCCTACTAACCGCCCTTCCACAGCTGAGAAGGTTCAGGCCCGGACACGGAGCTACTTTCCCAGGGCCCCAGCTGTTAGGCGGCAGCACCACCCCCCACCCGCCCAGCGGTCATGTTCTGAGCACTTGGCCCGTGTCGGTCAAGGCACACATGATGGCACACACTCGCGCCGGCCCTACAACCGCCCAATCACTGTTCCCACCCCGAACCGGCTGAGCTGCCGGTCGCACCGCCAGGCCCACAGCCCCTGCACCAGCCGCACTACTCCACCAAGGCGCGCGGAAAGTGCGAGGCCAGGCTCGGTGTGCCACTGCGCACCTGAGTGCACACGCGGGGGGCAGCACAGAAGACAAGCCGCCACACTACAGGCTGCTCCCACCGTCACCCCCACAGCCAGGCCCCAGCCTTGCCAAGCCCTGAACCCATCCTGGCTGCACACCTCTGCTCTGCCCTCCTTGTTCTCAGGGCGGCACCTGCCTGGCAGGAGAGAAAAGGGGCAGCAGCTAACAACTTAACCCAGGCATCCCTGCTGCTAGGCCCCCGGAAACCGCACCCCGAGCTGAAGCCTGCACGGAGATGGGCTGGGGAGTTACCTGGTTCAGAGTGCCCTGGTGCTGGGGGGCCGATGGCTGCTGGGGCGTGGCTGAGCCATAGGAGCCGGCCATCCCGTACTGGGAGGGGGAGCCGTAGCTCTGGTACATGCTCTGCACAGGCAGAAGGGAGGGTTGGTGGCAGGCCGGCTCCCCCTCCTCCTGCTGCTCGGCAGCCGGCACAGCCCGCACCCTCCCCTCATCGCTCACCCCTCTCCGTTTCTCTCCACCGCATAGACGCACCAAGTCCCCTTATGTTAAGGGGGTTATTAAATAGCCCTGGCTGGTGTGACTCAGTAGATTGACTCAATTCTCAAGTCAGGGCACACGCCTGGGTTGTGGGCCAGTCCCCAGGAGGGGGCACGCAAGAGACAACCACAACACTGATGTTTCATTCTCTTTCTCTCTCCCTTCCCCTCTCTGTAAAAATAAATAAAATCTTTAAAAAATACATTAAATAAAATAAAAACTTCTATCAATTCTGTACTCCATTTCTGCTAGTTCTCAGAATTTTTTTTCTATTCCACAAATATCTGCTGTGTGCCGGCTTTTCTAGGTGCTACCATATAATAAAAATAAAATATAACAACCTACTCTGGCTGGGGTGGCTCAGCGGGTTGGGCATCATCTTCCAGACCAAAAGGTCATGGGTTTGATTCCCGGTGAGGGAACATGCCTACGTTATGGGTTAAGTCCCCAGTGGGGGCACGTAGAAGAGGCAACTGATCAACTGTTTCTCACATCAACGCTTCTCTCCCCCTCTTTCTCTTTCCCTTCCTCTCTCTCTGAAATCAACGGGCATGTCCTCCGGTAAGGGCAATAAAGGAAAAAGAAAAAGGGTAACAATCCATGCCCAAATGAAGCTGGTGCTCAAAATACATGCAGTTGTAGACAAACATGCACCATGCTGAGCAGTGGCCACAGGGCACAAGTGGACGTGGTGTGGGCAGATGAAGGCCCCTGTGCAGCTGTGCGAGGCCGGGGCCGGGGCCTGGTGAGCCACGGGGCTCGGGGAAGGGGCTCGGGGGGAAGAGCCGGGCGCACTCACCACGGGGTAGTAGTAGCTGTAGGGGTAGGCGTAGCTGTACTGCTGGTACCACTGGTAGTACTGCTGCTGCTGCAGGGCCGAGGCTTCTGCCTGCGACACGTACTGTAGGGAGAGGCCCAGGTGCCGTCAGCCTGGGCAGCAGGAGCCCATGGGCCCACAGCCCCCAAAGGGCAGGCCTGTTTCCTGATTAACTGCCATGGAACAGAACTGGGAGGTCTCTCCACTGAGAGCCACCATCTCTGCCATCAGACTCAGGCACCTCAGGGACAAAGACACCTTGCGCCCTAGACACTTTGAGGGAATAGTCCTTGCTTCCCCCACTCTAGGTCTCCTACGGTGTCTTCAGAACTCTGAAGAGAGCTCTAACCGGAGAGGACACCGAGTGTCTCCCACCCTCCAGCACAGCTCCCCCCGACCCAGCAGGGCGCCCAGGCCCACGCGGCCTCCTCACCTGTGCACTGGCCACAGGCCCGTTGCTGCTGGCCTTGGCGGAGGTGCCGGCAGCGCCCGCCTTGCTGATGCTGGCCAGGGCCTGGCGGGCCTTCTCCCACTCTGGGTTCTCGTGCATGGGCGTCTCCATGCCGTTCTCCCTGCCCGCCCCGGCCACCATGCTGTACTGAGAGGACCTGCAGAGAACGCACAGCGAGTCAGCCTGCTCTCCCAGGGCGCACCAGTGGGCACGGTGGAAAAGGCCGCCGCCCGGGCTGGGATCCCAGGGCCCCCTCTTACTGTCTACTGCAGCCTAAGTCTTCCAACCTATGACGTGCTGACACCCAGTTTCTGTTTCAGTTTTGTGTGCGGAACTGATGAGCTTACCTACCTAAAGGACTTCTGCAGGTGCCTGGTACACAAGCAGTTGTTAAAAAGTCAAGCAAACAAAATATTTACCAGCATCTACAGAACTCAACCTAAGACCTGGTGCTTAGCAGGTCTAAATGTTCCATGAACCAGTGACTTCTGTCTGACACCACCCTACTCAGCAGACTATAACCACAGCTTTGGAGAGAATAAGGGATGAATAAAAAGATAAACGGCTGAGTAGCAAGTGCTGGAGGTTGTCTCCCAATCACAGTTCACTGAATGAAGCATCCCAAGTCTGCAAAACAAGCGCTGTACTGTCAAACGTGAAGGCTCAGAGGCCTCGACCCTCTCCCCACCACAACCAAGTACCCCCGTGCTCTGTGGCCAGTGGGCCCCACCCCACCCACTGTTGCATCACTTCCCCCGGTGCTGGGGCCCCCTTCCTCTGGCCCACCAGCCGCCCCCGCCCCCGCCCTCTGGCCCACTAACCAGTCTGCGCTGCGCTGATCACCCACGTTGGCCGCCATCTGGACCCTGGGGTGTAAGGGGTGGGCCTCGGGAGCCAGACTGCTTTTTCGCTGTCTGTGAGAAAGGGGCTGAATTAGGGAGAGTCCAGAAGCAGCACAAAACAGCTCAGAGTGGAAAAAGGGAGCAGATGAACTCACGGGAAGCCCGGCGGAAGAGGGGAGTCTGAGAGGAAGAGCCGCTGGGGTGAAGAACCTGACGGGGATTCTGGGTGTGGGACACAACGGCCACCGTGTGAGGGGAAGCCCTGGCCTGCCCTGGATGCCCTGGGTGGAAAAATGAAGGACCTGCAAAGTCTGAAGGGGTTTCCCAGAGGGAACGAGGAAGATCTGAAACCCACGGGAAAGGGAGGGGAACGCTAAGGCAGCGACAGGTCGGGGAGCGGGGTGGGGGCCTCAGCCAAGGGTTAGGGGCCTCTGCATCCCTGAGAAGCAGGACAGCCAGGCGCTCTAGTGAGCGACTCTGGGCGAACCCTCAAGGCCCAGAGAACTCTGCGAAGAGGGAAGGGTCTGAAGAAGCCTTGGACGAAGAACCATGGAGAACAGAGGGGGAAAAAAACCCTGAGAAACGGGAAATTTCTGGAAGTTACTCCTAGAAACGGGGAGAAGTACAGCGTGCGGAAGGAGAACGTCAAAGGGAAGAAATGGTTTCCTAGAAAGCTCGAGGAGAACAGCTGCAGAAAGGGTCCCTAAGGCAGAGGACCTGTGCGGTAAGTTCCTAGAGGGAGAGCAGGCTTGGGGGAGAGCGCGAGGCGGCAGCCGCCTCCGTGCGGGTCCGGGGCGGGAGCGTTAGGGATGCCTAAACTCTTCCGAAGTTAAGAGTGGGGTGGGGAGGGACACTAGAAAGTGAATGGGTGTCTGGGGGGCAAAAACTGGGGGTGGGGGGGGCCTGTAAACTTGAAGGGATGACAAGGATGGGTGAGCTCAAAGGCTAGTCCTGTTAGTGAACCCGACACCCAACAAGAAGTGAGAGGAACTGGAAAAAACCCTAGGAAAGGTCTTAGGTGAGGAGAACGGAGCAGGGGGCCGAGGGGAGGGAAGAGTAAGCAGGGGTTGAGGCGCAGGGTACTGGTGGGGAGACGACACCGGAAGGAGAGTGGGGTAAGGCCTGAAGGTGCGCGGAGGGAAGGCCCTGGCAGGTGTAAAAGGCGGAGGCACCTGGCTATCCGGGAGGCCCGGGGCAGGCACCGCCCGGTGGAGGAAGGGCCAGTCCGGTTCCCCGCACCTCGCCCCGGAGCCACCGCCCAGGCCGCGCCGCGCGTGCGCACCGCGTTCCCGGGAGGAAGCCGGCGCGAGGACCACCCGTCGCCCAGGACGACGCTGTCGTCCCTGTGGAACTGCCCTGTCAACGGGAGGTAAGGGCAGGGCCACTGGGGGGCGCCCAGATATTCCAAAGGACCGGCGGGGAGCAGAAACAGATCGCACAGGCCAGAGGGTACACGGCCGTCCGCCCCACCCCACGTGCGCAGGCGCAGTGCCGCCCTTGCCCGCCACACCCTGTCGACGCTCGCGGGCAGCGTCCGTTGGGGTGACAGCCACCAAGGCCTTGGGGCCCGCGGGGCGTTAAGGCCGAAAGGAGACGCCGTGCCCACCCGTCCGCCGCTCCCCACACCCACCTCGTCCTTTCGCCCCCGGGACTCGGCAGCAGCGGGCCAAGGCGACGACCACACGGCCGCGGGACTGCTCGCGAGCCAGCTGACTCTTGTCTTCCTTGGGCTTCGTCTTTCCGACCGCGGCGCCCTGACGTCACGCGGAGGCCTCGTCCCGCCTCCGCCGATCCTACACAGCCAATGGACGCTGCGAACTTGACTTGAGCCCGCCCCCCTCTCCGCTTACGCAAAGACCGGGTAGACGCTCTAGGCAAGCCGGAAGACAGGGTGGGGACGGTGTCCCAGAGGGGACATGTGCAGCGGAGTGGTGCGCTGCCACCGCCCGCGCAGACGTGTTTTGGCTGCTTTAGTGGGAGCTTTATTAAGTTTCCTAGATATAAATTAGGGTGGTGGGACTTAGAAGACTGCCCACTGTCCAGTGATGTCGAAGCCCGGAGGAGAGAATGACGAACTGAAAGCGGGTGAAAGGAGCCCCGCCAGAAATGGAAGCTCCCTTAGCAAACTTAGAAAGGCGCACCTGGCTGAGGGAACAGTGTGCAAACGTTTGGAGTCGGGGAAAAAGCCCCGCTCGGAGGGATGACGGGAGCGAGGACTGCGGCGAAGTACAGGTGTGGAGCCCTAGAGTGAAGAGGCAGGTCCTGCAAGGCCAGTGATGTCAGCCTGAGGAATTTGAACCATCTCAGTAAACAGGCCCTTTTAAAAACTTCTTGTAACGAAACTTGGCGAGGGTACATGTTTCCCTCCAGAACTCGTATAACAGCGTCCAGTCCGTTGGGGGACCGGTCACGGTAGGAAGAGCAGGTGATGGAGCAGCACTTAGAGGCGGCTTCCCATTTTCTACTATAACTTTCCTATTGATACCATGTATTATATTGTTACTGTTAGCATGCTTGACCTTTTTACATCCTTTTTATTTTTTTCCCCATCACCATTTACCCGCCCCCATACCCTCTTCCACCTCCACCTACGTCCCTGCTCCCGTTTATTCTTTTAAATTAAACTTTTAGAATACTTTTAGGTTTACAAAAAAGTTGCAGAGAGCGTTCAGCGTTCTGTGTATCCTCTACCCAGCGTCCCCTCATGTTGTCACGTCACGTTATTGTAATACATTTGGTAAAACTAAGAAACCAGTGTTGGCACATTGCTACTAACTAAACGGCAGGCTTTGTTTGAATTTCACTACTTTTCCACGACTGGCTTTTCTTCCAATCCACGGCACCACCACGTGTTTACTATCCCTTTGTTTTTTTTCCCCTCCTGTATGTAAGGTGGGTTCTTGGGGACACGCATCTAGTTGGACCTTTCTTTTCACCCAAGGGTGCAAGCTCTACCTTTCGAAAGCACTGTCTGTAATTGTGCTTTAACGTGGTTTTTCGTGTGGTTACATTTAAACCTATTAACTTGCTATTGGGTTTCTATTTGTCCTTTTTTTTTTTTTGGATTTCAAGTGAGAGTTTATTAGTGAAGCAGTGAGACTGAGTGTGGGCTACTCCACAGACAAAGCAGCTGTCCATCGTTGCTTCCCTTTTCCTCTTTTCGGTCTGAGCATTTTTTAAAAGGTAAAGACTTTGGTTTTTTAGAGCAGTTTTCAGCCAGGCCTTGGGGAAGTGCTGTGCCTCAGTTCCCCTCCCCTGTCCTGTGGTAGGAAACTGACGACCCGGCTGTGACCATTTCCGGCCTCGGCTCCCTGTTTTCTCTCTCTCCCCTGCGTTGCCTGACATCCAGAGTCTTGAGCACTGTTACTGTTTCACATATTTTGTCTTGGCTTTTGGGTTGTTTCAGGAAGGAGAAAAAAAAATCCAGTCCCCGTTCCTCCATCTTGGTTGGCCGTGGAACTGCTCATGTGTTTATTTTTAAATAAAGATTTACCTTTTGTACAGGTTAAATTAAGCACGTGTCCTTTTTTTATTGGTTAAAGCTTCCCGAGTAAAGATCCCTGGCGGGCTCCCTGGCAGGCAGTCAGGCTGTCTGGATCTCAGGGTCGTTTGCAAACATCCACCATCAATAATCAGCACACGGATCAGCTGCTGGACCTGGTCTCAGCGTCACTAGAAAGAAGCGTCTGAGAGCAAAGCAGCGTGGAAAGCAGCAGGGCAGGCTTTCCCCCTGTTTCTAAAATCAGGCGTGGGATCCGGGGGAACAGGGCTCAGCCAGGAGAGGAGAGTCAACACAGGTGGCCCCCAGAGGACCCTGCTGGAAATCGTAGCAGATCTCTCTTTCCCAGCCTCAGGCCTACACACCGAAAGCTGCCTTGAACATTCCTTGCAGGTCACAAGATGGAAAAGATGAGGGAGCCCAGAGACATCCGGCAAGGCATGTGACACTCTGGACCGACAAGCTCTCACCTGAACCCCCTGGGGCTGTGTATGCATTTTGGGATCGGGGGTTTTTCAGTTTCAAGAGGCAGAATGGTTTCTGGCCCACACAGCACACCGTACCTTCTACCCTGCACGGCCCTTGGAAGTAACTTCATCAGTGTGTCTGCGGGAAATAGATGAACAGTCCTCCCCTGGGCAGAGAAATGTTCCTAAGTGACCAGGGCCAGGGTGAGTCAGGCTCTGCTGCTTAGTAAATGAGGGGAGGCCCTCTGGTCTAACAGCTCATGGATTTCAGAGTTAGAGGAGGGACTTGAAAGCCATCCAGGACACCCACCTGGGAGATGAGGCAGCCTCTTGACCCAACAGGTCAAGGGACTGTGCATGTCCCTTAACCACAGCCTCATCTGCATTTGTCCACTCCGCTGCCATTGTCTGCCACGCCCACCTCCAGTCTCTCTCAGGCCCCCGCCACCCCCCACTGTGAGGTCCCAAACCTAGCCAACAGCTGTCACGCTTCGGAGAGCCCTGCTGGATGTACAGTAACTTACTGGGTTTCTCCTCTCTCTGTGGATTTTAGATTCCAGAGTTTAGCCAATCAAAGCATTGTTGCAGCAAACAGCCCTAAATATGCGTCCTTAGATGCCTCTCTGCCTCGTTTCCATAAACTGGTTCCCAAAAGCAGGACACCCAGCTCACACGGTCTGTACAGTTTAGATTTTATCGCATGGGAGATTATATTTTTCGAAGGATTGCAATTCACAGACTCGGGAGCAGCGTGTCTGAGTGCCCTGGCCCTCCACATCCTCGCCAGCACAGAATGTCAGAGCTCCTTTAATTTCATGAGAACTGGGTGGTGGGGAAAAAATGTGTTTCAAATAATAGTTCCTAAGGATCCAGGTTTCACTGTCTTTTTCATCTGTTTACTGGTGTTGGGATTTTCACTTCATTAAATGTTCAACTTAGTTGCTTGTTTTTAAGTTGGTTAGCTTTTTCATTGTGGAAGCTTTGTAGATTCTATTTACATAGTAAGAGTTATATATTTCTTTGCCATGTGTAGTATTTCTTAAAAGAACAACACCATTTTCTCCAGACTATCAATTTGCCCCTTTAGGGTATTATTTTTCATTCTACCATTTATCAACTAGATTACCTTCTCCTTCCTGGCTTTAGAAAATCCACCCCTCTAAGCATGATATACAATATACAAAATTCTCCTTCCTCCTGAAATACTTCTATCCCCTTGCCTGCCTTTACATCTTTCGCCCGTCTTGTCTATAGAGTGTTTTCCTCCAGATGGAGAGCCAATCATGTGAGCAATGCTGTGAAACCAACCAGTCCTTTCCACCCCAATTTGAAATCTGTCTTCTGTCATATATACACGCCGAGATCTATTTCTAGGCTGTCTATTCCACCCCAAGGATGGCTGTTTTCCAGTGTCAGGACACGTGTACTGCTTTTAGAATCAGGGGAAAATGTTATTTTTTTTTTTAAAGACAGTAATTCCTTTGGAACCCCTGCAGAGCCCGGCCAGGAGCAGAAATGCCTGGCAACTAGGAGGCCAGACTGAGGGGGACCGGAGAAATAGGAAGGACCCAGCGGCTTGTAAAATAAAGTCTTCCCTTTTATTTCAAATCAACCCATTCCCAAGTTAGTGCCACAGGTGGAGAGCAGGACCCCCGAGCCCACCAGTGCATGGTGAGAGGGAGGGCACGCAGGCCTCTTCAAGGATGGCCCTGGCGGCCGGCCGAGGAGGAGGGGCCCCCTCACGGCCAGCCCCGGCCCTGGCCTGCCCTCAGCCTTCTCCCAGGGCTGAGGGTGCGGAGAGGGGGCAGGGCAGGAAGGCAGTCCTGTCTGGGGTGTCCGCGGCCAGGGCTGTTGTTAGTGGTGGGAGCCCAGTGAGGCTGGGTTAGTGGGGTCTCCTCTGGCTGCCAGGGAAGGAACTGCAGATGGAGACAGAGACAGGGCAGTGGACGCTGGGGGCAAAGGCCGCCGCCATGCCCGGCATGGGAGAGGAGGCTCTGAGAGCCGGGGTGCTGCTTTGACAACTCACCAGGGAGGGGGGACCGGCTCCAGTCGGAGGTGGAGCAGGGGCTCAGATAGATGACTGCCACTGCACGAAGCGCTTGGATTCCTGCGGGGGGTTTGGAGCCAGAGGAGCACGTGACGTGGGAGGCCGTCTCAGTCGTGCGACTCCCCCAGCCTCCTCCCTCAGACCCAGGGGTCCAGGCCCCCGCCCCTCCCCACGCAGGCCCAGGGGTCCAGTACCTGAGGGTTGAAAGGGTCGTCATCGTCTGTGTCATCGTAGTCGTCACTGGGGTGCGATGGGGGGGCGTGGCAGAGAAGGAGGGTGTGGGAATCCATCAGGAGGCGGCCCTCTCAACGGCCCCCACCCTTGCCCGGTTCCCCTCCCCCCTCCTGTCTCCCCTCCTGACCTGGGTGGGAACAGGGCCCAGGCGCGAGGCAGGCTGCAGAGGGCAGTGGCCAGGGCTCCTGCCGACAGGAGGGAGAAGAGCAGCAGGAAGAGCAGACCTTCCAGGGCGTCTTCGCACAGGCCGCGCAGGGCTGCTCCATAATCCTGGGTGGGCGGGGAGGCCGTCAGTGGGCAGCGCCCCGCCCCCCGGCCCCCGCACACCCTCTATGCCGCTCCGACTGTCGTCCTGGCTGTGCAATGCGGGGCAAGTCACTCAGCGTCTCTGCGCCTCAGTATCCCTGTGGTCACACGTGCTCAGCACAGAGCCGGGCACACAGGAAGCGCTCAGCGCACAGTAGGTGCTGTGGTCCCTCTCATTATTACACCCAGAGGTACGACCTCAAATCTCAGCCTCCTGTCTGTCACAGAGAAGCCTCCACCCCTCCCCCCACCCAGCAGATGCCAGTAGCACCTCCCCAGTTGTGACAACCAAACACGTCCCCACGCAGTGCCCAGTGTCCCCTGGGCAAAATCGCTGGCCTTGGACAATGCCCAGGATAACACTTAGAAGACGCCCTGCGTTGCAACTGCACAACGCACATAGCACGCACTTGATAAATGCCAGCTGTTAACCCTGGAAATGGTCAGGACCCCCATTTACTGACTGCTCCGCCATCACGCATCAGCAAGGATGGGCCCGGGGCCTGCCATGAGCCTGCCCCGCCCCCGGTTCCAGGGGACTTCGGTAACCAGGCCCCCCACCTGCCCACGGCTGAGGGAGGCAGCCCTGGGGCCCCACCACCCCGGTGGCCCTGTCAGGAAAGAGCTGGGCCCGGGGGACGTCTGGAGCGCTGAGACGGGCCAAGGCTGCTGTGACATCGCTGAGGAAGGGATGCCAGGGGCCAAGGCCGGGGACCAGGCACAGCCAACCACACAGTCCCTGTAGACCCTGCGAGACGCGGGGAGGTTAATCGGTGCGCCGGGGAATCCCTGGAGGGCTTAAGGCGAAGGAAGAACTTGATGGGATTGTGTTTAAAAGGCTCACCCAGCTGTTGGCTGTCGCGGGGAGAGCAGAGGGGGACAGGGAGCAGGGGCCTGGGAAAAGTCTCTGACCGCTGGGCAGGAGGTGAACAGGGTGAGGACCAGGGATGCGGCGGTGGGTGGCCCATGCCAGCAGCGCTCAGACTCCCGGTGGGTGTCAGAGGGAGGGCGAACAGGACCTGCCGGCCACATGGTCACGGGAGGTCAGGACAGGGAACAGAAGGGATGACCTAGGTGTCCGGCTTGAGCCCCTGCATGGGGGGTGGGGGTGGGGTGCCCGGCGCTGAGCCAGTAAAGCCCGGGCAGGGCAATGGGGTTCCTCACGGACAGGCTCAGACACGCACAATGTCCTGCCATCCCCCTAAATGCCCTGCAAGGCCGAGCCCACACCGCTGCCTTTTGCAACGGCAGAATGGGCAAGCCACTTGCCCAGGGTCACACAGTGTGGAAGGGACAGAGCTGGGATTGGAACCGGGTCTCTCAGGCTTCGGAGCCCGCCCTTCTGACGTACCATCCCTGAGGTCCCTCATCCTGATTTTTATTTATTTATTTATGGACAGAGGGGAAGGGAGGGAGAAAAAGAGGGAGAGAAACAGCCATGTGTGGTTGCCTCTCACGTACCCCCTACTGGGGACCAGGCCTGCAACCCAGGCCTGTGCCCTGACTGGGAATTGAACCAGCCACCCTCTGGTTCGCAGGCTGGCGCTCAGGGCACTGAGCCACATCAGCCAGGGCCCTCATCCTGATTTTAATATAGGGGACCCCGAGGCCCAGACAGGGACACGGGCTTGCTGGTGCATGAGTGGACCACAGAGACCCTGACCCGCCCTCCTCCTCCCTCCCTTTCCTCCTCCACAAGGAACCTTGGGCTCCACTCCAACTGGACCGCAGAGAAACGTGTGAGCTATTTGAATAAAGAGCGGCGTGGCCTCCGAGGACATCCCACCTGCCTCAGCTCTGGGTGCCAGCAGCTCTGACTGTTGACTCAGTGCCTCCCCCGTGCCCCATTGTTAGAGCACCAGTTTCAGAAGTATGGGGGCAGGGGGAGCCATGGAAGGGATCTGAACACGGCAAGGAGCAGCCCAGACCCGTCCTGTGGGAGAGACGGGTCCCTCTGGGGGTCAGGTTGCCAGACCAGACACAGGACTCCAGTGAGGTTTGAATTTCAGATGCCCGACGACAACAAAAGCCTAGTTAGTACAAGTGTCTCCCCAGTGTGGCTGGGACACACTTAGAGTAAAAGGGTATGTGTTGTTTGCAGGATCTGGCAGCCTTGTCAAGAGGCCACCCGGGCACAGACAGGGAAGGAACGGAGCTGTGTGTCCTCAGGCCGGAACCGCAGCAGGCCCTTGGTGTTGGGGGGCGGGGGCGTCAGACAGTGGATGAGGACAGTCAGGAGGCAGAAGGGACAAGACTGGCGAATGCCTGGCTGTGAGGGCTACGAGAATGAGAGGCGCGAGGACCCCGTGCACGGGCTGGCGGGGCGACCCAGCCCTGTGTACCTTATAACCCAAGTCCGTAAGACAGACAACAACAGCCATTCCTTCTCCATCGCATTACTCACGAGGGCTCCGTGAGGCCCCAGAGCCCGCACTGAGCAAAGCCCACGTGTGCCAGCGGGGAGACTGGTTTTCTCCTGAACCCCCACAACGACCCGGTAAAACAGGTCCCATCTCCCTCATTTCGCAGGGAAGGAAACCGAGAGGCAGGGACATGCGCCTGCCTGGGGCCACACAGCCGGCGTCAGAGCGCCGACAGGAAGGCGTACACGGGACTGCAGGTCTCTCTCCTGGGGGGCCGCCCCCCCCGGCCCCCGCCTCTGGACGAGGGCAGCACTCGCTACACAAGGGCCTCGCAGGCATTCATCCCGGAGTCCCGGTTCTGTAAGTGAGGAAACTGAGGCACAGAGAAGTCAGTGACTTGCCTGAAGCCGAGAGCTAGGACTGGAACGCGGGCAGTCTAGCTCCAGAGTTCACTAGGTTGTATAGCCTTTAGGAGGGAGGCAGGGGAGAGGAGGAAGAGGAGGAAGAGGAGGAGGAGGAGGAGGAGAGGGGAAGAGGAAGTAAGTGGACTGGAGGGGGAGGGAAGGATGGTGGGTGGAGAAAGGAGGGAGGGGGAAAAGAAGGAAGGAACCTAGGTGATAGATGGATAGGATAGTGGATAGGTAGAGAATACTATGTGATACATAAACAACAGATTGACAGGTAGAGAATACTATGTGATACATAAACAACAGATTGACAGAGGGATTTCTTGGGGACAATGGGAAAAAACCTGACAGGGTCCGAGGAGGAGAAGGAGGACCTTCAGGGTCCAGGCAGAGGCTCCTCGTAGTAATAATTTGGGGAGGGGTCAGGAGTCACCTTGTGCAAGCCTCGACAGTGCAGTAGGGCCACCAGCTGGTGGAAGTTTCCTTCAGTCACATTCAATGTCTCCTCCAGGGACAGCAGAGGTTTCTGCGGTGGGAGGAAGATGGTTATCCCCCCTACTCCTTAGGCCTGTGGGTTGCCGGGGCCCCGCCCATCTCTTCAGGCCCCGCCCACACAGACGGACCAAGCCCCTTTATTCGGGCTCCGCTCACCCGCCGATCCCTCTTCCTGGCCCCGCCCACACGCCAGGACCACGCCCCCAACTTCCACGACCACGCCCTCTGACCCACGCTTCCTATGGGCCCCGCCCACTCCTCAAGTCTGTCCCGGCCCTTGGCCCTGCGAGACAGGGTGTAGGGGCAGCGCCGACCTGCGCGGAAGGGAACTGGGGCACAGCCTCTCGCTCCAGGCCTTGCAGCTGGGAGTGGATGTTGGCCAGAGCTCGCTGGGACAGCGTCAGCCTCTGCAGGAGCACAAGGCGCGAGGAGTCCGCAGTGGCCCAGCCCCAGCCCACTCCTCCCTGGGGACTCAGAACGGGGAGGGGGGCGGCCCGTGGGGCCTTCATCCTCCCCCAGGACCCCTAAGGCCAGGCCTAGCCCTCCTCCACCCGGTTCCCTGGCCCGCAGCCCTAACCTGTTGAAAGGGGTTGGAGACGGCCTGGTTGCAGAGGAAATAATAGTTCAGGATGTCTGAGGTGAGAGGGAAAGAAGGGGAGGCCCGTGAGCCGGGGCGGGGCTCGGTGGGGGGCGGGGTGGGGGGGGAAGGCGTTGGGGGCAGGGCCCTGTCTTCCCACCCTCCCCAGCTCAGGACCGGACTCCTGTGGTCCCAGTGACCTGGCATTCTGAGCCCGGCCACTGGCCCAGCGCTGAAAAGCTTCTGCTCGGGCCACAGCCGAAAACACGCCGGCCTCCACACGCCCCGGGAACCCCTGCTTCTGAGGGTGTCCGCTTGCCTATACTGCGCTTCCCCCAGTTTCCCCAAGCAGCCAAATCCTCCACCCCTCAGGCCTGGCACCCTTTCCGGAGCCCCTGATCTCTAGCCCTCTGTCTTATTCGGCCCAGCCACCAGGTGCTGAGGGCTTCAGGGACAGGCAGCCTGGCTGACTCTGGGCACCGCCACCCCACCCCAGGCAGGACTGAGCGCAGAGGCCTGACCGCCAGGGCATGCGCCAGACCCATGGGGTCACCTGAGCCAAGCCCAGTCTCCTCCTGGGTCAGGTTGAGGACGTAGGTGTCTGGGCTGGAGCAGAAGTCACTGAGGCCCTGAGAGAAGCAGGAGGAGAGGGGGCTCAGGCGCTACCCTGCGCCGATGCCACACTCCCGCCTCCCTGGGACCCAGGGGTCCGGGCCCCCAGCCCTTCAGGACCTAGAAAACCAGCCCCCGCCGGCCCCAGGACCCAGAAGCCTGGCCTCCGCACTCACCACGGCTGTAGCTGCCTCCAGGCCCAGGGAGCCCCAGCTCAGGACAAGGACCACAAGACTCATCACGGTCATCCTGTGGGGGGAGGGACTGGACTTGAGGTTCTGAATCTCTCCACCTTGCCTCTTCCCATCGCCCCCCCCCACCCCAAATCCCAGCACAGCCCTACCCCCAGCCTCTGGAACCCAGAGAATCAGAATTAGGGGCAAAGTTGGAGGGGGGTGTGGATCTGTGGTTGTTGACATCCCATTGAACTCCGGGTCCCTGCTGGGAGCGGGGGCGGGAGTGGGGGGCAGGCAGTGGGAAGGGCCGTGGGCTGCCAGGATTCAGCCCAGCTCTGCCCTGTCTTCTCTGGGACTCTGAGAGGGCTACTGCCCAGCGCGGGGGCCCATGTCCTGGACTTGAATTCCACAGGACCCGCCCTGGCCGGTGTGGCTCAGCGGATTGAGCGCCGGCCTGAGAACCAAAGGGTTTGCACTTCAATTCCCAGTCAGGGCACAGGCCTGGGTTGCAGGCCAGGTCCCCAGTAGGGGGCACCCAAGAGGCAACCACACGTTGATGTTTCTCTCCCTCTCTTTCTCCCTCCCTTCCCCTCTCTAAAAATAAATAGCAAAGAAGAAAGAAAGAATGCTGCAGGGCCCAGTTTTGCCAAGCACACCCTCAGGTTCCCTCTGGGTTGGCCACCTGCTCACCCAGGTGGCCCCTCCCAGCCCCAGGGCTGAAGTTGCCTCCTGGTTTTTCTCTGGGCATGGGGTTTGCAGGGCCGGCACTGAAGGGTGGGCAGCGGGCAAGAAAGGAACCTGGAGGGGGAGCCAATGCCAAAGTCCCTGGGCCCAACCACGGCCCTGACCGGCCAGGGCCCCGTTTCCCCGTCTCTAAGCCTGGGGGGGGGGGCATGGGTGGGACAGCAGGACCCCTCACCCCAGGGGGGTGTGGGGGTGGTGCCACTCCAGTGGCAGGGAGGAAGCGAGGGCTCCTCCAAACGGAACAGGCTGGCCTGCCTTGGCTCCAGCGCCAGCACTTCCTGACCGGGCAGCCCCGAGTCAGCAGCCCCACCATCCTGCGCCCCAACCTTCCCCTCAGTTAAATGGAAGGAACTGCCTCCCAATGGGATCGGTGTGAGGGTTCCAGAAGAGCACAGGGCACATAGAATGAGCCACGTCATGGCCACACAGCCGCAGACGTGGTCGCCTCCTGCCTCTGGTCCCTCATCTGCCAGGCCGGCTCCTGACAGGCCCCTCCTCGGCCGAAGGCGTCAGTGTGCACGGCCCGCCCCAGATGTCACCGATCGCTGCCATCCCCAGCGCCAGCACCATTCCAGGGGCACCCTAGGATCTCCTGCTCTGCCCACTACAAGGCAGCCCAGCCCGGTGACTCCGTGGAGGGCACAGAGGTCCGTGGGACAGAGCGATGAGCCTGCGGGAGCCCGGGGTCCCTCTCAAGAGCGCTGCAGGGTGGCACTCAGGCCGCCCCCGTGCCATAACAGGAGCCTGCCGGGGGCGCCCGGACTCACACGATCACCAGCCACCTGCTCTGCTTTGCCAGGCCCAGGAGGATGAAGAGGCAGACCAGGAGCTCCAGGAGCAGCAGGAGGACGTAGGCCAGCCACCTGGGGAGGGGGAGGGGGACACACGGGGTCGGGGGGAGAATTGCATGAAGAAGCAAACCCAGCCTTCCAGCACCCAGGCTCCCAGACTCCTCTTGGACACCAATCCCTGCTCGTCACCAGGTCTGACCCCTGGACACAGCCCGGCTTGTCTGAAACGGGCGCACTGGCAGGCGGGCCACCCTCGCCTTCTATACAGAGCACAGGCCCCGGGGCAACCAGACCTCGCGCGAACTCTGTGACCTGTAACCTTGCACGTGTGACCTGGCCTCAGAGTCCAGCCCCCAGCGCCCCCTGCAGAGGGGAGCACCCAGCGCCCTGTTGTACAGCCTGAGGGTGCGGTGCCTGCAGACGGGCCGCCTGGGCCTCCGCCTCTTAGCTGTGGATAACTGTCTCAGCAACTCTGCCTCCCGTGCCTCAGTCTCCCCGCCTGTAACGGAGGTGGTGAACGACAGCACCTGCTTCCAAAGGCTGCCAGGAGGCCGATGAGTGAGAGCACTTAGAAAAGTGCCAGGCCCACATGCTAAAATACCAGCTTGAACATGAATAAGGGAACTTTAACTGTTCATCGATAATTCCGTACCAGCGAATAACAATGCAGTCTGACTGGAGAGAACACGTGGGAGGCCACAGCACAGGTCAGCCACATAGTACGTGCTGGATAAATAGCATGTTCCCGGGCAGGGGCTGGGGTCCCCGAGTGGCCCCCGGTGGCCTCCAGGGCTTTGGTCTGCAAGTCCCCATTGCCAGCTCATGCCACCAGCTTCAGGCAGGTGGCCAGTCCTGCTCTAAGCGGCCGGCCATGAACGCGTGCTATAAGCCTCCACGGACTCTGCCAGCAAAGCTCTCCCTCCCTCGAGGAAACTTCCTTCAAGGAAACTGGCCCATCTGTCGTTTGAGGGACAAGAAAGTGCCAGGCGCTCCGGGGCCAGTTTCTCCAGAAGGCATTCCCTGTTGCTGGTGGGTCCGCCTTGCCCTGGCGTGGCCCACACCCCTGCCCCTCCCCCCGGAACGGCCGAGGCTTGCCTGTGTGGTCCCTGGGACTCGCTGGGCCCCAGGCCTGTCTGATACCCCCCGGGGCGTCCTCCTCGGGGCCTGCTTCAGCCCTGTCCGCCTTGAGCCTTCCAACTCTGCCCCCTCCCCTGGGCTGGGCCCTAGGCATGTATCTTCTTAGGTGAACGAGAGAAATAACTTTCAGTGGATGAAGTAATGGGGACTTCCTCATGGTAGTGCTGGGAAGGGTGGCTGTCCCAGAAGTCTGCCTAACTTGTCCCGTCCCCTCCTTCAAATGGCACCTTCGCGGTGTGGCCTTCCAGGACTCCCCATTCAAACCGTCAGCTGGGGTCCACTGCGCGCCCCCTCTCATGCTTCCTGTTCTGCAAAGCTCTTTCTACCCGCCCCCCCCCCCCTTCGGACATTCAATTACTGGCTCCCTCTGCCGAACAGGCCAGAAATCGCTCTCTGCTTCCCTCATTAATCTATCTCATGAAGACCTACATTTTACAAACACCTGCATCGTGTGTGCCAGTCACCTGACTGATAGCGGCTCATTCGATCCTCAACAACCCAATAAGAGGGGAGAGGTGCTGTCCACTGTTCCCATTCGTAGACGGGGACACTGAGGCCCAGGGCTGGAGAGGGCTGGTTGAGGTCATGTCGTTAGGGAGTGGCCATCTGGCTTCAGCGCGCACGCCCCTCACCCCGTGGGCTGGGCTGCCGTCCCTCTCACCAAACGGTGCTAAATAAGTATTTGTTGAAGGGATACAGGTGTCCGGTGGATGGCGGAGGGAGCGACCTCGTTAACAGGCCAGTCCAGAAGTGAGCGAGCGCAATTAATGAAGGGGGGAGCCAAGCAATGAATGAATGAGCGGATGCCTGGAGGGACAAGATACTGCAGGGGTGCTTGGGGGTGGGCGTCGCTTGGTCCCCTCTTGACAGCAGGGTTTCTCAACCTTGTTGCTACTGACCCAGGACGGATCGTCCTTGCTGTGGGGACCGTCCTAAGAACTGCAGGGTGTCAAGCAGCGCCCCGGCCTCCACCCGCCAGATGCATAGTTGTGATGACCAGTCGTGCCTCCAGACATCGCCCGATGCCCGCTGGGGCACAAGCAGCCAGAGGAGTGGTGGCCCACCTGTATTCCTCCACAAAGGACACATCTTCGGCCACCTGCAGGGGGCTCAGTGGCACCCCCTGCCAGAAGGCCAGCCCCTGGAGCTGCTGGGCCACAGCCTCCGCCTGCCTCCGAGCCCCTCGGGCGGCCGCCACCAGCTCCGTGCGCTGCGTGAGCACCTCCTCCAGGGCGGTCAGCTCCGTCCTCACGGCCTCGCCCAGCCTCTCCACCGTCTCCAGCACCTGGGCGCAGGGGTGGGTCTGGGGTCAGGGCAGGGCGTTCTCAGGGGGCCCAGGGGTGGGGGACGGGGTTGCGAAGGAGGGACGAGCAATGGCAGGTGTCTGGGATCGGGGGCTGGGGCATCTGTGGCTGAGGAAGGGGCGGAGGGGGCTCTCTGGTCTGTTTGTGGAGCTCTGTGGCCTCCATCAGGAGCTCTGGGTGGTCAGTGGCTTGAACCCCAGGTAGAGACTCAGGCCCCAGAAGGAGGATTCGGTCTGGGGTCCTGGGTCTGACGTTCACGTCTGCCTGTCTGAGCCTGGGGTCTCGTCTGGGTTCCATGGCCCAGCGTCTGCACAGGACATGAAACCTGAGGTCTGAGGCTGGGCTTAGGTCCCAATGGCCAGGGATGGTGCGGGGACGGGGGGCCTCTGGTCCAGTTCCTAGGTCTCAACACTGAGGTCCCCAAGTTTGCATTGGAGCCAAGAGGCAGGTCTGGATCTGACCTGGGGGCAGGGGCAAAGGTCATGGGTGGTTGGTCTCCACGGGCTTTGGGCTTTGAGCTGAAGCCCAGGGCTGGGGATACGTGTGAGTGTGGGCTCTGGGTTCTGGTTCAGAGGGAGTCACGTGGGAGGCCCTGATTTGCAGCCGGGGTGGGGGTTGGTGGTACCATCGGAGTCTGAAACTCTCAGCCTGGGGGTCCTAAATTTTAGGTCTCGCGTCTCAGCTCTGGAGTTAGGGTTCCGTTTCCTTGGAATGGGGCCCTCGTCCGAGTGGGGAACCCGTGGGAGGGTGGGTGTGGGGTCTGGCCGCCCCCGGCCCCTCACCAGGTGGTCAATGGCGCTGAGCGTGTGGTTGGCGTGCACCAGTGCGGAGCTGAGCTGGGCCACCCCATCACTGGTCTCGCTGTTGCCATAGAAACCGATGCCAATGCCAGCGCTGTGAGGAGGGACGGGGAAATCACAATGCGTCCTGGGACCTGAGGGGCCGCCGACCCCACCTCCTCACACACCCAGTCCCCCCCCACCCCCATGCCATTGGGCGAGCCCACCGTGGGAAAAGAACGTCTCCAGGCTGGCCCCCCACCGGTTGCCAGGGTAACGGGAAGGCCTCACTCCCCCGGGCCGAGGGACGTCATTGTGATGCTAATGGTAGGTGGAGTGGAAAGGGGAGGGCACCCCAGATTTAACTCGCACCTCACCGGAGCGGGACCCCTGTCCCGCCCGGCCCCGGGATGACCAGTCTCCCCCCACCCCGCCCCCCCCCCCCACGACAGCTGGCCGCACAACCGTTTCCTCCATCCTTTCCCAAGAGCCCAGGGTCCTCCGCACCTGTCCCTCCGGGACCCAGCCACCCCCTCCCCCACATCCTGGGGTTTCCCAGGCATTCAGGCCCCCAGCCACCATCCCCCGGGGCGCCCGAGCCTGGAGCTCCCGGCCACCCCCCCACCCCGACCCGAGGGACCCAAGCTTCTGGCCAGCTGGGAGCCAAGCAAGGGATTGTGGGCGCCCCCGCCCCTCCGCAGCCAGCACACAGAGCTCCATTGTGGGGCCTGAATCGGCCCCCACCCCCCACCCCAGTGTGTCCCTCGGCGGAGGGGCCAGGGCCAGACAGGGGAGGAGGGAGCGGGACGCCTTCCCAGTTCCCAGCCGCAGCGCAGCCTCCGCCCCCAGCCCTGGGACCCGACGCCCGCGCCGCCGCCCATTGTTCGCATCCCCACAAAGCTGCCTTGTTCCCAGGCCGCGGGGGCCGGCCGTGTCTCTCCCCCGCCGGGCCTTTGTCCGCCTGCTCCGTCCACCCCCACTCAGGAGGGCTCGGGGAGGAAGCATCTGGGACGCAGGCCGCCCGGCCGCCTCCCCCACAAACACCCCAATCACAGACGCCGCTCCAGGCGCTGCTGGAGTGGCCGAGGGCCGCGGTGGGAGGACCGGCTTCCGGGCCACTCCCCCGGCCCGGCAGGTCTCGAGGTGCCCCAATCTGTGGGACAGGACAGCTGTCCCACCCCAGTGTGTGCGCGGGGCGCGCGGGCGGGCGCGCGGGCGGGGGCCTGGCAGCTGGGCTGCGCTCAGAGCTGGCCCTGGGTGTAGGATGTGTCAAACTCATCTCCTCCCGCCCGGGGGGTTCCCAGAAGCTCCCAGGGAACTGCAGCTCCGAATGTCCACTCTGCTGCTTGGGCCACGTGGCCTTGTCCTTCTGGCTGAATTGTCCTCTTGCAAAACTGGGAGTGACGTCCCCCAAGTGGAGCGCGGTTACTTCGGCCGGGGGCGGGAGGGGGGGCGCGGGGCGGGGCCGAGGGAGGCCGGCTCGGGCCTGGGTGGGGAGCAGGTGGTCTGGGCCCAGACTAGTGTTGTCCTCCCTCCCCCAGACCAGAACACCTGTGCCCTGAGGGCCGTGACCTGGCACAAAGCAGGCACTCAAGGAGTGACCGACCTGAATGGATGAGTTAAGGAATGACAAGGGGTAACATTTACCAGGAGTTTCAATGGGAGCCGGGCTCTGGACCTTCTCTCACTCAATCTTACCGCGAGGAGGTGGGTCTCACCGTGATACCCATTTTAGAGATGTGGAAACTGAGGCGGGGGGGGGGGACTAGATCACTGCCCCGGGTGGCACAGCCCTCGCGTGGCAGAGCCACCAAACCCAGAGAGTCTGACCGCCCAGCTCTTCACCCTGACCCTGTCCCGCCAGGCCGGTTGCCCTGGGAAAGGTCAACTCTCTTGAGCCTCAGTTTCTGCATCCATCAAATGGGGACAACTCTGCCTGCCGCTGAGGTGGGGCTCTAGGGCGCCGCAGGAAGCCCGGCAGAGAGTTCGGGGAGCCCTGTCCCCACTCCCCCACCCGCCCTGGGGCCCCATTACCAGCCGACGAGAAGGGCAGCGATGCAGCTCCAGGTGACGCAGCCGCCCCCGGGCGGGGGGCTCTTGGCGCCGGGAGGCTCGGGGGGCCGGCAGCAGCAGACGCGGATGAGGTAGGCAGCAATGAGAATGAGGCTGAGGCCCAGCCCCAGGCCGGCCAAGGCCGCCACCAGCAACAGGGCCTGGGGAGGAGGGGTGACCGCGCCTCAGAGGGGTTCGGGCCCCACCCCAGCTCCGCTGGTGGGTGGCACCCAGGGTCTCAGTGGAGGAGGGAGGCACCTCTCACCAGCCTGGGGGCCACGCCCACAGGGTGGTATTCAGGTTTGTGGGGAGAGATGGGGTCCCCCTTTCCCCAGACTGGAGGCTGGGGGTCTGTGACTTGGAACTGGGTCACTGGGAGGCCTGAGTCTTGGGTTCTAGCTCTGCTCGGCCCAGCCATGGCTGCGTGATGTTTGACAGGGGGCTTCCCCTCTCTGAGGCTCAGGTTTCCCCTCAGCCAGGTAGCCGGCTGGAGCATCTCTCAGGACTGGGACGCAGGACTGTGGGGTCAGGGGGTGGTGGGGGCTCCTCTTCCCAGAGACGTGTGCGTGAGGCTGGGGGTGGCAGGCTTCCCCCTCCCCCCTGTGGGCCCTCCCCACTCCCTGCTCACTCTCTGTCCCCTGCCTCTGAGCTCTGCACACCCACCCCAGTGTGAGCCTGTCACCCAGGGACTCACGGGGAGGGGGCGTGACAGCCTCACAGAGAGAGAGAGAGAGAGAGAGAGAGAGAGAGAGAGAGAGAGTGTGTGTGTGTGTGTGTGTGTAAGTCTCAGAGATAGAGACAGGGAGCAGAGACAGAGTGGGGGCGGGGGCAGGGGGAGCAGACTCAGGGAGAGACGGAGAAGTAGAGACCCCGAGGCAAGAGACAGGTGGAGACAGAGGTGGAGGGAGAGCCAGAGGGCGGAGGGCGGAGGCAGGGAGGGGAAGGGGGCTCCCCCGGGGGGGGGTTGCACAGGGACGCTCTGCGCAGAGGCCCAGAGCGGGCCGGGGTTCGCCTGGCACCACGCAGCCTGGGAGGGACAACATCAGGGACAGAATCGGACTTGTGGACTCATGCGACTGTTTCCCCTAAACCAGGGTCCCTGCCTTTGTGCTCACACTGGGGGGTGTGTGTGTGACAAGTGCGTGGCGTGTGTGTGTTTCTGCCTGTGTTACAGGTGTGTTATCGCTGACGGAGTTTATCTCTCACGGGGTAATACACCTAAGTGTGTGCGTGGTGGGGGGGTGTGTACACATACGTGTGTCTCCACGGGAGCCCCTGTATCTTCAGGGGTGAGAGAGCGCGGGGTGGGCGTCTGCGTGTGTCTGGCACACTTCCTTGAGTGTAAGCGGGTCTTAGGTGGGGCGTGTGAGAGCGCGGGCGGGTGTGATGTGCGAATGTGAGCTCGAGCGCGCAGATGCGTGTGAGCGTGCGGGCACGCGGTGTGTGTGTGACTGAGTGCAAGAATGTGTGTGTGTATGCGTGTGGGAGTGCATGTGTGTGTGTATATGTGAGTGTATATGTAAATGCATGTGAGTATATGTGAGTGTGCGGGAGTGTATATTTGTGGATATGTGAATATGTGTGAGTGTATACGTGTGTAAGGGTATGTGTATATGAGTGTGTATATGGGAGTGTGTGTGAGTATACGTGTCTATGTCTGAATGTGTCTGAGTGCACGTCAATGTGTGTATGCGAGAGTATATGTGTTTGTATATGTGAGTGTGAGGATGTATACATGTGAGTGTGAAAACGTGTGTGTAGGTAGGAGTGTGTGCGTCTGAGTGTGACTGTGTGTATATGTGTGTCTGGGTCCCCACCTGAGTGTCACCAGGGCCCTGACCACTTCCCAGCTGTGCCCACTGCGGTGACCGCCCTGGGGGCGATGTCCCCTCCTGGGGCGTGTGGCCCCGTGCGCTCCAGCCCCAGTGCTGCCACCCGGGCTCAGACGGGAGGGGGCCTTAGCCCGCCTGAGCGCCTCAGGCGGGCACAGGGTCTGGGACATGTGTGGCTGTGTGGCCATCTGTGTGGGCCGGTCTCCGTGGTGCGGAGGCACCAGGCCGCGTTGGAGGCTGTGATTGTGTAACGGGAGGGTGTGGGACAGGGGCTGGCGGCCCCCTTTGCGGGGAGAAGGTGCGCGCGGGAGGCAGGGAGGAGCTGCTCAAGCCGGCACAGCCGTGACCCAAATAGCTCAGAATACAGCACACATCCCCCCTCTCCGCGTTTCTGGGAGCCCCCCTCCTCAGCTCTCCAGTGCCCAGCCCTGGTCCCAGGAGCTCCCCAGGACAGATCCGAGGGCTCCAGACCCTTCAGGCAGGGCCCAGGACCCATCCCGGCCCCCCCAGGACTCCCAGCCCCCCCACCCCGTCCGCAGCTCAGCCAAGCTTTGCTCATTCAGCTCAAAGTCAAGGACTTCAATTTAACTGGGTCAGAGGACAGTTCTTTGGCCCCTATTGGAGCGGCCCCCGGCCGGGCCCCCTTCCCCAGCGACCCGGGGCTCCGTGAGCTCCCCCTCCCCCACCCTCCGGACCGGACCGTGTCCGTCCTCCTCGGCTCCCCAAGCCAAACCTCACCCCCACCCCCACCCCCGCCCCATCCAGCGCCCTGTCCGCCCCTTCTGTCCCGAGACGGGCTCCCAGCCTCCGCTTCCAGCATCCCCACCGCATCTCCCCAACCCTGGCCCCGACCCCCTCACCCCGTCCCCATTTCAGGTCTCAGTCCGGTCCCAGAACCAGAGCCTGCGCACCCCCAGCCTTTCTCCTCTCCAGCAGATCGCCTCCTCTCTCCGGCGCCCCACCTTCCCTGGACTGTCCACCCCATGAGGGACGGTCATCTTTTAGGACGCCTGGTCCCCTGGTGACCCTGGGCGCTCGCGTCTTCCAGGCAGTTCTCAGAGACCCTGGAATCCAAGAGCCTCCATTCTCCTCCCTCCGCGGGGACCCAGGGGTCCAGGCCACTAGCCCTCTTTTATCTAAGCAGCGAGGGGTCTGGTACCCCCAGCGCCCGTCCCAGGGGAACCTCCAGGTATGGGATCCCTGAGCGCCTCCTCCCTCGGACACCCCAAAGTCGGGGCCCGGCCCTCACCCTCACTCTCAGAGAACGCAGGGGTCTCTCACCCAGAACCGCCGGCCCCCAACCCCCCGCGCCCGCTCCCACCTGCTGGTATTCCTGCTCTTGGGGCGCGAAGCCGCTGGGCACCGGACGGAGCTGGAAGTCGGCGCGGGGCAGCTGATGTAGCAGATGCACCCAGGCCGAGGGTCGGTAGCCCGGGGGCTCCCCCATGGCCCCGGGGCAGGGCGCGCGGGGCGACGCCGGGGCTGCGGGAGCCTCGGTGGCGGAGCGGGGCGCGGGCGGAGCGGGGTCTGGCGGGGCTCTGGGGAGCGCAGCAGGGGGGAGGGAGGGGGCAGGGGGCGGAGATTGGGGGGCGGAGGCGGGAGGCGCGGCCCGGGCGGGCGCGGTGCTGCCCCTGGCGGCGGCCGTGGGGACTGCGGCGTAGCGGGTGGGCCCTGGCCTTCCGGCCTGTCCTGGCGGCTCCCACCTGCGGCCCGCGCACAGGTACCGTGACATTCTCGTCCCTAGAAGGCCGCTCATGCCGTTAGGTCACCGTACGACAGGAGAATCCCTTTATCTTTAGGACGAACGTTCACGTCCGGACAAAGGTCGCTAGTATCCGCACAGCATTTTACAAATAATGGCAGTCGCATCAATTTTAAAAAAATCCCAGCAAAACCCTCTATCCTCTACATCAGCGCGCTGTCACCTGCACAGGATGCCTCTTTTCGGGTAAAAGCCCCTTCTGCTAAAAAACAAAACAAAACAAAACAAACAAACAAAAAAACCCCCAAACAGAACCGGAACCCTGTATGCATAAGAACACAGCTGCTAAACACTGACTCGCCTCTGAGTGCAGAGGCCACCCCAGAGCTCCGCGCTGCATTCCCTGGTAGAAGCCCCTCACTTCCGGTGGGCGGGGTCTGCGCAAGACCCCGCCCACCGGAAGAAGAACCCGCGCCTGGCGTCTTCCCAAGGCTCCTTCCACGTGCTGGAGAATCTCTCCAAAGGGCTGCTCCCGTCTCTTCGAGGACCTTCCTGTGCCTTGCTACGCACTGTACGGTTTACAGCCGCTGCCTGTGTTGAGTCGCACGGATACCTGGCGAAGGAGAGACCCTTGAAGGGGGCCTTGCCACATAGATGTCACCACCCAGGCAGTCAAAGCTGGAGCTAAAACGAAGGTCCCTAGGAATCCGCTCCAGGGGCCTTCCCACCCCCAGGGAGCAGGGCGAGGCTTGGGCACTTGCAGCCCCCACACCAGGCACCGCTGGCGGGGAAGAAGATGGTGGGAGGAAGACGCGGAGGAGAGTCCTCCGCTTGCCTCCCATGTTTTGCCCCAGATCGGTGAGGCAGGGTTGGGGCCCCCGCCCGTGCCATTGTTAGGGAGAAAAACTATGGCGGTGATGACGGCACCGTGATGGTCATGGTCACGATGATGATGACGATGGTAATGGTGAGGGTGATGATGGGGATGTCGGCGATGATGGATTAGAGTGATGATGATGGTGAGGATGATGATGGTGGTAGTGGTGATGGTGAGGATGGTGAGGATGATGGTGAGGATGGTGAGGAGGAGGAGGAGGATGGTGGTGATGATGGTGAGGATGGTGATGACGGAGAAGACTGATGAAAGCTGCCCCTGACACACAACCCCCCCAACTCTGGGTTACTCCCTTCAGAAAAAGGTCTCAACGGACTGAATCGCCCCCTTTCCCTCCCCTTGCTTCACTCTGGCTCTTCCTCTCATGCCCAGCTCTGTCCCTCACGCAGGGTTTGGGTCCCAGACGCCTGCCGTCTGGTGTCTTTAGAGAATTGCTTTATCCTGCATTGATTAGGCCCAAGACATCCCTCCTCATCTATGGGAGACCTGAGGTGCTCTCTGGTCGAAGTTTGCTGGCTTGATCGTCCCCTGTCCTCATTCCCGCAGCCTGTTTCTCCGGGGGAAGACAGATGGGTATTCCAGGGTGGTCTTTGAGCATTTATTTCCAGGGCTTTTGGCCGAACACCGTTCCAACGCCATCTCAAACTCGCTAGGTGTTAACCCAGGGCTTGGGCGCCTGAGAGCCCCCTCACGGGTGCTTGCCATATGGGGAGAGGGATGCAGCATTGCCAGATGTTCCACATTTCCCAGAGAAGACAGAAATCTGGATATTTTTAAAAGCAAAATCCCTCAGCTTTTAAATGTTAAAACTAATTCAAATGAAAAAAAAATTCTGTGTGGGCCAAATAAAACCTGTCTGTGGGTTGGAGCTGGCTCTGGTCTAGCCAGACGCTGAGCAGCACCCGCATGCGTGCAGCAAGTGGAGGAAGGGGGGGCCCAAGGAGGCTGCGAAGGAGCAGCCAGGGAGGTGGGCAGAAAGCCAGAGAGAGGCAGCAATGCCGCCTCCTCCGGGAAGGCACCCTGACCAGCCTCCCTTGTCAGAAAGAAGGGCAGGTCCTGGCTCAAGGGCTCAGCATGAGCTCCTGTGACTTAAATTCAGATTTCACTAAGGTTGTGAGTGCATATATTATGAGTAAATTTAGATAATGTTCTAGAACATACAAAATAAATCTATGTTGGCAGAGTGATCAGAACTGTGATTACAACCAGGACAATTGGGAACAGAGCTGAGTGGGAAGGGGGCTGCGGGGTCTTTTTGGGTGATGGCATTGTTCTGTATCTTGATAAGGGCTTTGGCTGCACAGGGATCTGCATTTATAGTACACTTAAGATTTGTGCATTTTATGACAAATTTTACCTCAAAAGAAAAATAAAAACTCCAGTTAATAATAGGCATGTTTAAGTATTGGGAAGAAGTATAGTGATGTCTGTAGTTTCCTTTGAAAACAAAATCAGATGGATTGACTAAGGGATATATATGTAATAAAGCAAAATATCAATGGTAGAATCTAGGTGTTGGGTATCTAGGTATTCCCTGTAATATTCTTTATTTTTTCCAGCTTTATTGAGATACAACAATATGTAACACTGTATAAGTTTAAGGTATACAATGTGATGATTTGATACATGTATATATTGCAAAATGATTGCTACAAAAAGATTAGTTAACATGTATATCACCTGCCATAGTTACTTTTGCAGGTGTCTGTGGTGAGAACTTTGAAAATCTATTCTCTTAGCAACTTTCAAGTACATAGTGCAGTATTCTTAACTCTAGTCCCCAGAAATCATTCATCTTATAACTGGAAGCTTGTGCTCTTTTGATCAACTCCATCCATTCCCTCCACCCCCATGCCTGGTAACAACAAATCTGTTCTCTGATTCTGTGGGGTTTTTGGTTTGTTTTTTGTTTTGTTTTTTTTTTAGAGTTTACACGTAAGCAAAATCCTACAGTATTTGCCTTTTTCTCTAGAACTTACTTCACTTTAACATAGTACCCTCTAGTTCCATCCATGTTGCAAATGGCAGGAGTTCCCCCTTTTTATGGCTGAGTGATGTTTCATTTTGTGTGTTTATGTCACATTTTCTTTATGTCTTCACCCACTAACAGACACTGAGGTTGTTTTCATTCTTTGGCTATTGTGAATAATGCTGTGATGAACATCGGGTGCAGATACCTCTTTGAGATAATGATTTCAATTCCTTTGGATAAATCTCTAGAAGTGGAATTGCTGGGCCATAAGGCCATTCTATTTTTAACTTTTTGAGGAACCTCCATACTGTTTTCCACAGGGGCTGCACCAGTCTGCATTCCCACCAACAGTGCACGAGGGTTCCCTTTACTCTATGTCCTCACCAGCATTTGTTGTTTGTTGATTTTTTGATGATAGCCATTCTGACCCATGGGAGTAATGTCTCATTGTGGTTTTAATTTGCGTCTCTCTCACGATTAGTGATGTTGAGCACCTTTACATTGTCTGCTGGCCATCTGTATGTCTTCTTTGGAGAAGTGTCTATTTAGGTCCTTTGCCCATGTTATAATTAGACTATTTGTTTTCTTCACTGTAATATTCTTTTAATGTTTCTGTATGTTTGAAATTTTTCATACTACAATGTTGAGAAAAAGGGGCAAGGTATATTTAGAGAACCAAAATAGATAAAGTAGTATTGGATTATGAGTCAAATATGAAAGAAATATATCCATAGGTCCAAAGTGCTACACATCACTGATTGAATGAAGTAATACATGGGAGAGAACAGACAACTGTCCCACGTACAAGAATGCCAAAGAATGCACGTGACTGTTCTTCCGCTGAGGATGTGGAGAGTAAGTCCTGACTTTGGGAGAGCATGTTCAAGGGGCAAAAACTAAAAGCATTTCGCGTAAGATCAGAAACAAGACTGGGATGTCTGCTTTCCCCACTCTCACTCACCGCAATAGTGGAAGTCGTAGCCACAGTGATCAGACAAGAAGAAGAAATAAAAGGCACCCAAACTGGAAAGGAAGAAGTAAAACTGTCATTATTTGCAGGTGACAAAATACAGTATATAGAGAACCCTAAAGAGTCCACCAAAAACCTAGTAGAACTGATCAATAAAGTCAGTAAAGTAGTAGGATACAAAATGAACATCCAAAAATCACTTACATTTCTATACACCAATAAAGAACTCTGAGAAATGGAAACTAAGAAAACAATACCATTTACAATTGTGTCAAAAAAAAAAAAAAAACCCACCTAGAAATAAATTTAACCAAGGACGTAAAAGACCTATCCTCGGAAAATTATAAGACACTGAAGAAAGCACCTGGGGAAGACACAAATAAGTGGAAGCACATGCCATGTTCATGGATGGGAAGAATTAATCTCATTAAAGGGATGAGGGGTGGGGGGAGCGGGGAGGAACTTGACAATGGAGAAACCTGACAGACTACATCAGCCGCAGGTTCTGGGTCAGCATCGACAGGGATCAACTTATATACAATGTGGTCTCCTGGGGGAGATCCTGGAACAGAAGGACATCAGGCAAGAACTGAGGCCTGAATAAAATGGCACTGGAGTTAGCAATAACCCGCCCACACTCATTCAAGAGTTACCCCCAAGCACCGTGGTAATGTCAGATGGTAGCAGCAGGAGAAACTCTGTACTATCCTTACGACTTTTTGGTCCATCTAACAGTATTCTAAGATTTAAAAAAAAAATTACCTAAAAAAAGAAATCCAAATTAAAAAAAAAAAAAAGACAGAATAAAAAAAGAGTGTGAGCTGACTGGTGCGAACAGGAAACCATTTTTTTCTGTCTCCTGCCATCTGTCTGAGTCCCCTTTCCCTTCCCCTTGGCTATATCGGGAGTGGATCAGCCACATTTTCTTGCTACACGGAGGCTTTCCAACTGT